AGGCAAATGCTTCTTGTTAATTTGCAATATGCTATTTTATCCTAACTTCAGAACGAATTGTTTCCTCTTCCACGTGCAAAGTCCACATCACCGTAAGACGTTTAGGAGGCCGAGTCCAACCTCACAAGGTGGTGTCCAGTCCACGTTCTTCCGATCTCTTCCTCGGGCAAGACAGTCAGTAACACAAACACACGGACCAGGGCGGGGAAGGCAGTGGCTGGCGCCAAAGCGTGCAGTCCGCATCGCGTATAGTCTTGTGGTGGGGAGTGCCAGGAGGCTGCTGGAGGCACTCAGACAGGGCTATACCACGTACAGGCGTGGTTCAGGTTTGCATATGGGAGGCCCCTGAGCGTTGTATGCAGACATGCAAAGCATGGGGGGGGGGGTCCCGCATTTCCGAACCATATAAAATCCATCTGTTATTCGAAAGCTAGCCTCATCCTTGGGCAAAGCCGCAGTTGGTGGAAAAGAGAAGTAGCGAGAAAGTGGCTGGTTTCATTTGATCGGGGTGGAAAGGGAGAGCAGGTCCTTTGCTACTGGTGGCCCATGAAGGTCTGGTGGCCTGTGAAGAAGCAGGCCAAGGAATGTACCCAGAGTGAGTCAGAACAGCCCGACTGAATCTGTGCAGGATAGCATTGCCTCATGTACGTCCCACTGGTTGCAATGGGTCTCCTCTAAGCAGGACTAAGGGCTTCCCCGCAAGTGATGTTCAACCTGCTGCTGTTATGAGGGCTTCTTCTTCCATTTGGGATGCAGGAGGAAAAACGTGTCCTTGACGTGGGTTTTTCCTTGGGGTCAGGATTTCTCCCACTCTGCCTATATTTTGTTCCCCAGCAACGCCGTGGTGCTGCGGTTGAGCCGTCCCTCAGCAGGCTCAAAATTGTTTCGTTTGGTCGGTTGCTGCGCAGCATCTATTTTCAAACGCTGCTCTCGCCAGAAAAGCCCCGCAGGAGGAGAGGGCATGGGCAGAGGCTCCCGAGGTCTCCCAGGGAACAGACCCTGCAAATGTCCCCAGATGGTGGCACACAATAACCGCCCCGTGGGGATGCGCCCTGCATGTGGCGCGATCCCAGGAGACAGGATGCCCGCTGGAGCATGGTGCCCGAGACCCCCTTCCTCACGGCCCCACTTCCACCCATTTCGTGGGGGGGTGTCTGGGGGGAGAATGCCCTTCCCTCCTCCACACGCCTGTGTTTCCCCCAAACCCTTGCAGGGAATCCTGCCCCATCGCACCCTAATCCGCTCAGCGGCTCAGGAGTGCCTGAGTCCCTGTCCCCAAAGCCCCCTCCCTTCAGCCCAGCTCTGGGGGCGGGCGGGAAGGAGAGTGCTTGGAATTATCTTGCCGAAAGCCCCAACTCGACTCAAACCTTGGGTAAATCCTGCGAAGACAAGCAGTTTCGCCGGCCTGCAGGGCTTCACACAGGGAAGAGTTAGCGAGAAACTTCCTTGTAAAACCGCACAGCCCATTGTCTAAAGGAAAACAAGTTTACTCAAGGGAAGGAGAGAAATAAACAAGGGAAGGCAAGTATCCGACACACAACGCTCCGAAGGAAGCCAAACACATCAATCTGACCTAGCCAATTACGCGGCGGTGGGGCCTGGACTCCGAGAAGTGAGAAGAGGAGGAGGCCCTGCTCTGTGGGACAACCTTTCAAGTATTTGCAGGGTGCCACACTGTCTCCGCTCAGCCGCCTCTTCTCGAGGCTAAACATGCCCACTTCTTCCAAGCCTCGCTTCCAGGCCCCGATCAGCCGTACTGCCCTCCTCCGGCCCCTTTCCAGCCGGAGTGCGGTGCCCGCAGGGTGGGGGGGCCTTTGCTCCCACATGTCTTGGGAGGATGGTCAGTGGGATTTGGGAGCCTCGGCGGTCCTTCAGTCACATCTCCGGTCCATCCCCCAGGGAGACGGCACGCCCGGCGAGGCACATGTGAAGCTGCTTCCCCGCACTCGGAGGAACAGCACCCTCAGCAAAGTTCCTGGCGTCAGGGAAACCTCCTGGGGCTCTCCTGCGGGCCCAGCTGGAAGTGGTCTGGTCTTGCCGGGGATCATCGCACACTGGGGCCCTCCAAACCGGGGCCCGGAGCCACGCGGCTGCCCCTTTGCTTCCTGGCACAGCCGTGGTGAACGTGGGGCAGGGGGCCGTGTGCCCTCAGCTCTCCCGTGGAGGCTTTGGGAGGCGGGCCGGGCTTGATCCGGGTCCTTTGCATGCTTCTTAGGTACTGCTAACCATGCAAGGAAGATGGCAGAGGCTGCAGGGACGCTTTGCGAGCGCCTCTGAATGCACACGGTTCCGTATTCCCTGCAAGAGTAGAATCACCTTGCCTGGGGCTGGTTCTCCTGATGCAGCGCAGAGCTCACCTGAAGGGCCGAGAGCCACGGCGGGCCCAGTGGGTCACGGGGCTCGTTGAGGGACCACCCTCCTTCCTCGCCTCCTTCCCCCTCCTCTCCAGGCAGCACCCACGGGGATGAAAGAGGCTGATCTCCAAGCTGCTGCCCCTGCGAGTGGCATTTGGCTCTCCCAGCTGCCTGGCAGGCTCTGCGCACATCCAGAAGGGCCACCGTCTGCCCTGCCCTGCCCTGCTGTACTGGGTCTCCGAAAGGGAGCAGCTTTCTCTCCAGCAAGACCGACGCAGAGGGCAAGCCAGGAGGCGCGCTGGGCGAGGATGTCCCATGAGCACTGGGCGCCTGTCCCCCAAGGAGGAGTGAGGCAGGGCCACCATACGGCGACCTTCTGCCTCGAGGCAGCGCCTCCCAGCTGAGCCTCTCTCCCCCGTGCCACCTTTTGCCAAGCAGTCCTCTTGCCTGAGGCGTTCCCCCTTGACGCTGGCGGAGTTTGGAGGATGCAACCAGCAGGGGTGGCTGGAGACACCCGGGAGCAGCCCGTTTGGTCTTGCTGTGCTCGGCCACCATGGTCAGTTGCGATGGCTGATCACCGTGACTGCGGTTGTGCAGCCTGGCAAACCACGATGGCTTTTCCTGCTTGGTTGCTTGTGGTGGTGTGTGAACCCAGCTGCAGTGAAATGGTTCTTTTATTTCACACTTGTGGCTCTGGAACCTTGTGGTTCCAGCTTGGGATCAGCACACCGCTGCAGTTCCGAGGCACTAGAGGTTCCCTGTTCCTCCTCTCCTCCCCTCTCCTGCCCTCCCCTCGCCCTCTCCTCTCCTGCCCTCGCCCTCTCCTCACCCTCTCCTCTCCTCTCCTCTCCTCTCCTCCTCTCCTCTCCTCTCCTCTCCTCTCCTGCCCTCGCCTCTCCTCTCGTGATTGAGATGGAGTACACTGGGGATGTTGGGGTGCCCATCCTGGAAGGAAATCTCAGAAGGAGAAACAAACGGCGGGGGGGAGGAGGAAACTGCTCTCCGAAGGGTTGGACTCGCATTTGTTTCAAAACCTGACAATTCTTTTCGCAGATTGTTAAGAAGCTGATGCATTGCCAGGGGTTGGTTCAGGCGCATGAAGCCATTAACTAATTATGGCTCTAGATGGGGAACTCTGAGGCGCCAGGCTCTGAGCGTCTTCCAGCATTAATATCCTCGCGATTCCGAGAGAATGCGGGTGGCTTACTGCTACTTCAGTGCGAGTAGGAAACAGAGTGGTGACCTCTTGGAACCTTTCGTGTAGCTCTTGGCAGGCAGCGCACTCAGATCTATTATGAAATGCGGGTAGATGTTCTGGCCAAGGAAAACTCCCAAAATACAATTTTGAAAATCCACGTCACCACAGCACCATGCTTCGGGCCAACTCGGCGATCACAAAGCACTGTGTAAGCTTTGAGGTTCTGCAGAAAACTTCACTGGGGAAGGCGATAAGCAAAGTTTTTTAAAAAGTGAAGAGGAGGAGGAGGAAGAAAATAGTGCTTTTGCTTAAGGATGGAGATGGGCTTTGATGTTATATTTTGCGAAGTGGGGCATCGGTGATTGTCGTCTTGGTCTTCCCAGCAAGCCTTGGATGGGATCTCAGGTGTACCTTAAAGCTGCTTCTGTGCCTGATGGACTCTCCTCTGAGTGTCTGTGGATCCCTGGAGCTGGAAGATGGCAAGGCTGGTTCTGGATCACGAATCGCCCCGATCCAAGGGGTGGTTCTGGGACTGGAGGTCAGCGACCTCAACACACCTCACCTGCTGCGTTCACCTGTGATGTGGCACAGGGTGCTTCCACACCGCAGCCAAGTGGTCAGCATGGGGGCTCTGACTGCAGCATCGGCCCCTTGCCCCAGTTTCGCTCCATTCACCCCCTTGCCTGGTAAAAGGAGCTGGGCGACTCAAGGTTTGCACTGCATGCTGTGTCTCTGGATTTGGCCTTCTGTTTTCCTTCGGTTTTCAAAACAGGCATGTGTGGTGTAGATTAGGCTTCAAAACACAGGATGTGGGTTGAGTGTGAACTAAGCGTGCCGCAAAGGAGTGTCTGGGATCTGCACGAACGTGGCAGGAAAGGACACGTTTCAGCACCAGGGGAGAAGATAAAGGGACTGAGCAACACAGGCTCCTTCCCGTGGAACGAGTCCCCTCGCTGCTTCCAGCCCCCCGCTCCCAGTCCAGCTGCCCCTGGCCAGGCCCTTGGGCACACGGGGCCTGGGTCAAACTGCTGGGCTCTGCCTGCCCGGATTGGCCGGCTGCTGAGGAGTTACGGGGCAGTGCTGTGGGGGAGGCAGTAGGAAAGGGACGCAGAAGCCCTCAGAGGAAGTGCCGGCCGCAGGCCCCTGCCCTGCACAAGGAGGTGCCGCTGCGGAAGCAGATCCAGCGGCGGCAGACGGAGCCGTGCGTGAGGAGGGAGGCAGAGGGCTCTCCGCGAACCATGGTGAGTGCCGGCCGGAGCCTCCTGGCCCGTGGCTGGCCCAGGGGGCTCGGGCGGAGGAGCAAGGGTGCCGTCCGCGTGCGCGGTGAGCCGGCCCTGCAGACCACCTGCGTGTCTTTGGACAGAGCAGTGCAGCAGCTTTAGGGAGCTTGGGGCTTTGCCACAGGTGATAACAGAAGGTGGCCGCAACCCTGATGGGGGAGGCATCGCCGGGGCGGCACGGCCCGGGCACTCCTGCGGTGGAAGGGATGACGGCGTGCTGCTGTGAGGGGGGAAAGCGACCGCCTGGACCAGCACGGGTTTCAATAGGGTTTATCCTCATTTTTTTCTGGGTTGTGCCACTGCAGGGCCCAATTTGAGAGGAAACGGGGCCAAACGTGTATGCTTCCAAAGAAGCCAGATGGGAATGAGCCAGGAAGCTCAGAAAACCTTTTGTCAGAATGCGTTCTCTGTTAAACTGGGAAAAAACCTTGTTGAGATGTAAATGAGGACAATTAAGTGTGTTGGAAAGGTGTGTGTGATGCCTACTTTGATTATATTTAATTATGTGACCCAAGCTTTGAGCAGTATCTAAAATGAATAATTAGCATGTATTTAACAAATAATTGGGGGGGGGGCATAAGCCAATCAAAATCAGAATTGCCATTCACTGTACAATATGAGCATCCATGCCCTATTGTTTGGATGAAATGTTCCTCCTCCTGGGACAGCCTGCTCCACAGGGTAACATTATTATATGCGTTGCCGCTCATCATTCAGGGCAACATCCAGGCCAGTTTACACTTGCTTAAGCCACATGGAGCAGCCGAACGAAGCAGATGGTCAGCTATCCCGGAGTGAAGCCCGGTGGCCTTTAAAAGTTCCTGCCTGGCTGGTTGGTGATCCCAGCCCGTCCTTGCCTCACACTGCGAAACACGCTGATCTGATCGACGACGGTGCTCTCTCAACGAGCCCAGAGTTCAGCCAAGGATGCTTGGAGGAGCACTTTTGATGGCAGCGGGAAGCGACTGGGCTGCCTAGAGGAGGAGGCGCGATTAGCAGAGTGTGTGACCATTTTCCAGAGAGTAAATGCGGTCCCCACGGTGGAGCCACCGGCTTCACCCTTCGCTCCACCAGCGTTTGAAGCTTGACCCGCTGGGCCACGGGGCTCCCTGGGTGCCCTCGGGCCAGTGGCTCACGCTCAGCCTCACCGGGTTGCTGTGAGGATGAAGCTGAGCGGAGCAGGAGAGGTGTGGAAGCGCCTGGAGTTCCGGGAAGAGAATCGGTGGGGCAGAGATGTCACTGATAAGTTCTAATGGGCTCGAGGCTGGTGCTCAAGGCAGCCTGGTTGGAGGCCTGCCAAGGGTGCACCCCAACAGAGGCTTCTCCCCCCTGCACTATGGCCACCGGTGCCCCCCCGCAGGGGGGGGTGAGGGACCCTGGAAGGTGCCACGGGCCACTGGCTGCCGGCCCTCGGCCAGCCAGGCAAGCGAGCCCCTGCCCCGAGGACCAAGAGGCTGAGGGAGCGGGGCACGAAGGAGGGCGCTTGTGAGAAGGGGAAGCGTTTGGGGAGGGGCCCAGGGGGGCCCTGGAGATGGTGCTGCCCAGAATCGCCAGCTGCAGGGACAGCGCTGTGTCTGGGCGTTGACTCAGGCGCAGCTCAGACTATTCCAGCACGCAGGATGCTGGGCTGCACCGTGACTGTGGCGGGCACGGCTTGGGCTCGGGGGCCGTGGCCTAAGAGCGAGTGCTTCTCCTTGACCCAAAGGTGGTGACCGGCCGGGGACAGGCGAGATGGAAGGAGGGCCACTTCGTCTTGTGTGCTGTCCTTAGCTTGGGTGAGTAGCCGTTAAACCTGCTGGGGAAAATGGCCGTGATGGTCTCATCGGGACCTGAATGGAAGGGATGCAGAGCCAATCGGGGGCGGGTGGTGAAGGAACGAGCTTGCTGCAGCTCCCAGGCTCCCCCACAACCGGGGATGTTTTGCCAGTGAACCCAAAGAACGAGGCTTTCCAGCGCTGAGCACGAGGGCCGGTTTCCTGGCCCGGTTGCAAGCGTAACCCTTCCCCACGGCAAGCGTTTCAAAAGCAAGGCTGCGCTGTGCGTTTAGCCATCTGGGACGAGAGTCTATCACTAGTTTTGCTTGCAGTTTACTGGACGACAGTCGGGGGTTGCATAAAACGATGTGTGTGTTACCCGGGAATCTTCCTGCTGACGTGGGATGGAATCCCGTCAGAATTCAGGAAGCTGTCACTGTCCAAGGAGTGAGAGAGCAGGGAGGGCGACTGGGGCCAAGGGGAGGTTAGTTTTGGGAAGAAGGAGACAGGGAGGGGGCTGGGAGCTGGCTGGGGCAACATTCTTTGTGGTCTGGGACTCTCCCTCGGAATCCATGCTGGGCTAGCGGAGTTGCTGCTAATTAAGTGCTCTTTGCTTCCAAGATGTGTCCTGCTTGGATATTTGTAATGGGGAAAAACACTTAAAAGATACTGCAGTACCTCGGCTCACAAACTCAATCCGTTCCAGGACTCTGGTCGTGACCCAAACTGGTCGTGAGCCAAGTCAAATTTCCCCATAAGGTTCAATGTAAATAAAGTTACTCTGTTCTGTAACTATTTTTTCAATCAGAAAAATGTGAAGCAAAGTGACAAAGAACAACAAAGATCGCGGCCATCTCCCCCCGTATCCCAACACTGAGCATGAGCGCGACCATCTCCCCCCCTCCCCGGCATGACCGTGATCGCCCCTGTCATCCCGGCGTGCTGGGGGGAAGAGACGGGTGCGATTGTGCTGGGGGTGGGAGATGGCCGAGATTGCGGTTGCGCTCGTGCGAGACAGACAGGCGCGATCTCGGCCACCTCCCAACCCCAGCACAATCGTGGCCATCTCCCCACTTGGGGTGGCGGGGAGACGACCGACCGCGATTGCGGTCGCCACCCAATGCGGAGTTCGCCACCTGAGTCAACATTTTTATGACACTTTTGTTCACAACCCGATTTGGTCGTGAACTGAGGCGTTCGTGAGCCGAGGCACCTCTGCATTAGGCACTATAATTTCCAGTCTTTTCCTCCATCCCAAGAAGATGAATCCCCACCGAGCGGCTCCTGGAATTCTGGCCATCCAGGCAGGCAGGCAGGGAAGGGGAGGCAGGCCCTCTGCGAGGCCGTGCTCGGTGCTGCGGTGCGGAGGGCTGGTCCGAGCTGCCAGTGGTCAAGGATGCCGAGACAGAAGGGGCAGGGACGCGTTGTGGCGAAGGACGCAGGAAGTGCCCTGCTCCTTTTAGCTGCCTGATTCTGCCTTTCTAGTTCCTAGATGGGGTGTGGGAAGAGGTGCAGAAGGGGCTGGGGAGAGGGGGCCGGTCGCCTGGTGTGGAAGGCAGTGGGGCCGGGCCCCCTTTGCCAGGGGCCGAAGCCAACGCCAGAAAAGCCAGAAAGAGAAAGCTTGGCACACTGTCGCTCACGCTCTTCCTGCCAGCAACGAACCGTTCCGGTCTTTCAGCGCTGGGTTGAAGGGGAACCGTAAAGCTAGGGAAATGCCCGGTGCCTGAGAGTGGGGGGCAGGAACCACCTGGCGATGTGGGGAAGGGAGCACGGCCGCTGGGGGGGACCAGGTGGGGATCTCCCGCAGATGGGGATGTGACGAGCGGCTCTGCAGCGGCCCCAGCCTCCCTCTTCTTGCCACCTCAGAACGATCGAGACTTCTGTGCCCAGGATGCAGCACTGAAGCACCCATTCCACAGGTGCCCCTCCTTGCTAGGCAGGGAAAGCTGCGCCTGTTGAGGTTCTGCCTGCTGTCCAGCTCTTAGAATCGGAAAGCCCCGCTGTGGAACGCGACCCGGCATTGGAAACGCCTTTGGTTCAGCTGCGTCCACCGGGGACTCGGCTCACTGCTTGCCTCGCTGACGCCCCTCATTGCTCCGACAGGGCTCGTGCCTCCGGTGGGCGCCTGGACGTACCACTACGGGGACCAGTCGGAGCTGACCTGGTGGCAGGCGAGGAAGTACTGCCAGGAGTGGTTTACCGACCTGGTGGCCATCCAGAACCAAGGGGAAATTGCCTATCTCAACGAATTCTTGCCCTTCCATCGCACGTACTACTGGATCGGGATCCGGAAGATTAACAACACGTGGACCTGGGTGGGGACGCAGAAGCCTCTGACAAAGGAAGCGGAGAACTGGGCTGCCCGGGAGCCCAACAACAGAGGGGCCAACCAGGACTGCGTGGAGATCTACATCAAGAGGCAGAAGGAAGCCGGGAAGTGGAACGACGAGCGGTGCACTCGCCTGAAGCGGGCTCTCTGCTACAACGGTGGGCAGGCACCCGTGGCGCGTGCAGGCAGGGCCGCCAAAGGCCTGTTGCAAGGGCAGGGGGGTGTTCAGTCGCAAAGTCGTGCCCGAATCCCTGCGACCCCACAGACAACATTCCTCCAGGCCTTCCTGTCCTCCACCATCCCCCAGAGTCCACTCAAGCTCACACCGACTGCTTCAGTGACTCCATCCAGCCACCTCATCCTCTGCCTCCCCTTCTTCTTTTGCCATCTATTGTTCCCAGCAATAGGCTCTTCTCCAGGGAGTCCTTCCTTCTCATTAGGTGGCCAAAGTATTTGAGCTTCAGCTTCGGTATCTGGCCTTCTAGAGGGCAGTCAGGGTTGATCTCCTCTAGGACTGACCGGTTTGATCGCCTTGCGATCCAAGGGACTCGCAGGAGTCTCCGCAAGCACCACAGTTCAAAGGCCTCAATCCTTTGGTGCTCAGCCTTCCTTATGGTCCAGCTTTCACAGCCATACAGTGCAACTGGGAAAAGCACAGCTAGAGAAATGTACCGGGCAGCATTTGCTTAACTTTTGATTACCTTGTGAAGGTGGGGCAGGGCAGGGCGGGAGCAGAGCCAGGTGGTTTGGTTGGGGGAAAACGGCCACTTTTGTTTTAGGGGCACATTGGCATGCAGCTCACAGCATTTGTACACAGAGCAAAGCTCCCTTTGGGAAGAAAGCAGAGCCGCCGGCCCCTTGGCGTGGGTGGAAGGCCAGATGAGCTGCTGCGGGCCCTGCGTCGCTGCTCCTCGCGAGCTTCCGTGCCCGCCTGTCTTCGCCACAAAAGGGCTCTGAGCACGGGGGAGACTGAGCTGTCCCAGACCTGCTTCCCCAAACTCCATCCCCTCCGGCACTTCACAGCAGTGCCAGGGAGGAGCTGGGCCGGGGCGCTTGGGGCAAGGGGCTACGCTGGGGCCGTCGTTGAGAGCAGCCGGCATGGGAGCCCCCTTTGCGAGCGCTGAGCGAGGCTTGGACTGGGCGGCGGCGAGAGCGGCCTCCAGGCCCCGTGCCCAGCCGTGGACGCTGGCACAGTCTGGCTCCCCCAGAGACACTCTGCCAAGACAGCTTTCGGCACGGTGCTCTAATCCGATTCTGTTTTCCGGGCAGCTTCTTGTCAGCCCTTCCCCTGCAATGAGCGCAGCGAGTGCGTGGAGACCATCGGGAGCTACACCTGCCAGTGCCTTCCGGGCTTCTTCGGGCCGGAGTGCCAATCCGGTCAGTGCAGTGGGTGCCCGTGGGTTGCTCGGTTGGTTTCCCTTTTTGCAAAGAGGGGGAGGGCGTTCGGAGGGAGCTGCTGCAGAGAGAGCACCGCACTCTGCTCCTTGTGGGCTGTGGCCCATGCGCCATCAGTGAGGTTGCCTTCTGAGAGAACGAGGCCGAATTGTGGCTCGGGGGGTGCTCACGGCGATTCCAGAGCTAACATGGCTCAGCCCGCGGGGTCTTCTCTGGGGGGGCCCCACTAGCGGTGCTCGCGATCCCTCCCTCACGAACGCTCGCGGGGCCTTCCCACAGTGCCCTCTTGGGGGGCCTCTGCGCTGCAGCACCAACTGGGGTTGTGTCACGGAGCCCACAGCGAGGCAAGGAAAACCTCCCGGGGAAAAGAACCACTGTGCAAAAGGGGGATTTCCTATGAGGGAACCAGAACGAGAGGCCTGGGCACAGTGCTGGGTCAACGCCTCCTGCAGAAAGTCCTGCGTTAGCAGACGGGGCAGTGGAAGAGCCCTGGGGCTCCACCGAGCTGCACCTGGGGCCCGGAGTGAGGCTCCAGCTCTGCTTGCCTGGTCCCGTGACCCCGGGGACATGTTCCTCTGCCACGGTGATGGACTTGCCTCCCTGTCTCTGTGCAGTTGTAAAATGCGGGGCCCTCCATGCGGCATTCGCCCCACTGCTCCTCAACTGCAGCCACCCTCTGGCGGAATTCGGTTACAGATCCAGCTGCAGCTTCCAGTGCAGGGAAGGGTTTGAACGGAGGGGTCCCGCCAGCTCACAGTGCCTGCCCTCCGGACTGTGGACCGCCGAGCCCCCCCAGTGCACAGGTAGGTGCCGCTGGCCGTCTGTCGGTGACGGTCAAATGCCCCATAACTGAAAACCACGAGAAAGGAGAACAAGGGTACAGGTTAAAAACAAGGCACACCGCACTACACAAGGGGAAGTGGCTTGCAAACAGGTGTACACGCATTAGGGGAAGCGTGCGCAACAGTGCTGACAGCTTTTCATGAGGATTTCTTTTTTAATCACAGATTGATGCAAAAATAGGGTGAGATAGACTTACCTTCGGAAAAGAACATGGTCAGGTCTGTCCATCCTAGCAGTTGGCCAACGGTTCAATACCTTCCTTTTCTTTCCTTAGCTGTCCAGTGCCGGCAGTTAAACATCCCCGCGCATGGAGACATTCGCTGCTCCCACTTGTACGGGGAATTTCAGTACCGGTCCGAGTGCAACTTCAGATGTGCAGCAGGCTTTCTGATCCGTGGAGCGGAGAGCACCGTGTGTGACGCCTCTGGAGAATGGAGCTCCCCGGAACCAACCTGTCAAGGTTCAAAATGTCTCTCCTTCTGAATTCCCCTTCCTGAATCCCCGTCTCAGAGCTCAGTAGCCCTTAGGAGTAGAGTTGCTCAGGTTTGTCATGAATTGCACACCACACGGACGTGGTGGCACCTGTGGAGGCATCAGGAGCGCCACCTGGGCCCATTTTCTTGGCCGTGCTTCCACTATTGAGGCTGCAGGAGGTGGACGAGGTGCCTGGCCTTCTCGACCCTTGTCCCACGTGGCTCATTACGGCGGTTTTCGCAGGGACTTCTGCCTGGGCCCGGGAGGCTGTGGATGCCTCCCTGAGAGAGGCAGTGGGGCCACCGGTTTACATAAAAACCTTTCCTGTTATTTTAATATTTAATTGATTTTAACTGGGGTTTGAGGATATTAATGGTCGGATGCTGTGGGGGTAGTTTTCTTCTATTTATTTATTATAAGCTGTCCCAAGACGTTTTGTAGGGGACAGGTTAGGAAGGCTTTTAATTAATAAATAATAATAAAATAAAAGGGGTTGCAGTTAAGCGGCACCTGAGAAAGCCCGCCTGGACCCAGGGGAGGCAAGCCGGGCTCCAAGATGCTCGAGCGGCTGACAGCTCCAGGCAGCCGCAGATGAAAACTCGGACTCATTTGAGCCTCTGAGAAACAGGTCTGGGCAGCAGCGCAGAATGCACAGTCGCCACCTCGTCCTCCACCTGCCCCACCTGTGGACCGAAGACCGCGTGCTCTTCTTCTGTTCCACGTCAATTGGCCACTGCAACATTCCTTAATAAGGGAAAGAATGAAGGCACCACAGAGCTTTTTCTAGAACTTTTCCTGCTACCTGCCAACCGGGGGTGGGGGTGGGGATTCGAGTTTCAGATTTTCAATTACCTTTCACTTGGAGAACATCCTGGGCTTCCAGACTGGGAGGGTGGGAGGTGGTGGTGGTGAGGAGGAAAGCTAGCAATTATGGGAAATGTAACAGCTGTGGTTCACAGCTTATATCTCCAATTTAGTAAATAAATTGTCAATTAGTGCCAATATATTCTTGGGGAAGCTGCTTCATGGATATTTTGTTTATATCTATCTACCCTATTTCTTTCTTATATTCTTTCCAATTTTACCTCTACGGTTCCTTTTTTAATACGGATATATTTTAGTCAAGCAGTGCCAGGAAATTGAGACACCCACAAGAGGAACAATGGATTGTGTGACCCCGATGGGCAACTTTGCTTACAACGCCACCTGTGATTTTGCTTGTGAACCCGGCTTCCAGCTCAACGGCTCCAAGACTTTGCGCTGCGATGCAGTCGGCCAGTGGACTTCCCAAGTCCCTTCCTGTGACGGTATGACTTCTGTATGAAATTATGTGGACCCATGTAGGAATCTGGTACTTACATTTCCTGTTTCATTCATTTCTTAAAAAACTGCATCTTCCAGAAATATATTGAGCTTGATGCAGGCTTAGTAGTGCTTAGTGTAGACCCAGTAAATTCAAGGGATTTAGCTAGTCATGACTAAATGGTTTCATTGATTGATTTTCCACGGGTCAACTTTAAGCTTCACAGGGATTGATTCTGGGTGGGCGCATCTTGGATTACTTCCAGGTGGACGGAAAGGCACAGCGCTTCTATTCCGTCTTGTTCCCCTCGACTGCATACTGTGGAAAGAAAAAGGATGGGAAAATACGGGAAGGTTACAACTGAAAAATGAGGCAGGGGGGTTAGAGATCCCCAGTAGAAATCTGTGCACAAGGCTGGGCGATGGCAAGATGAAAGCCCTCCATGGAAGCATTCCAAGTTTGGACAAAACCCTTGTGCTCGAAACAAGTCAAAGAGCAGGCATCTAAAATAGAACCCTAACTACTGCACGTTGCAATATCACAAGAACAATCCAAACATTCGTGTTTATTTACAGTGTATCAGAAGTTCTGCAGCAGCTGTCTTGGACTCAGCATTGCAGCTAATTAATCTAATTAATTCTCTGTGAAGCTGGCCAGAGAGCCTACAGAAATCTGTCTGCAGTACATGGAAGTTCAGGACTTGCGAGTGTAAACGCGCGCAGCATTGCAAGGGTTGGTGGAGCAACCCTGAGGGAAGGCCCCAATCCGTCCTGCCACACGCATTGAGTTGGCAGGATGGAAGCAGCCTCTCCCCCCCCCCCCACCATACTTTATATGGACTCAGGGTGCATCTAGAAGGTGGCCACTGTTATGATGCATGATGCCCCATGTGCCACATCTCTGTCTTTTTTTCTTTGATGCATTTGCTGCACAGAGAGCAAGGACAGACCAAGCACAAGGGAAACGCAGGAGTGGGAGACCAAGTTGTGCGACCCCTTGTAACATCCCGTGAACGAGCAGGAGGTGCACCGGGGTGTCTTGCCGAGAAACGGCCCAGCCGGCAGATCCCGTCCGGGTGCGATCTGCCACTGCCCCACCCAGCCGTGCCCTGCGGGTGGAGACCCACTGGGGGACCAGGGGAAAGGAAACCTTCCCTCAGACCAGGACTCCTCTCTTCGCAAACCCCCTGTGCCCCCGCCTGACGTGCCTACTTTCCCTCCTAGCCGTTCCATGCCCGTCCCTGGAGGCTCCGCCGCACGGAGGCAGCGCCTGCACCCACCCCCTCGGGGAGTTCCGGTACCGGTCCAGCTGCACCTTCCACTGCACGGAGGGCTTCCTCTTGCTCGGAGGGGAGGAGGCCCAGTGCACGGCATCGGGGGAGTGGACAGCCCCGGTCCCCGTTTGCCAAGGTTTGCCGCTTTGCCGTGGGTTGGCCCCATCAGATTCACAGTGGGACAAGCACAATGCAAAAAGTGCTCTGAAAGGGCCCGACAAATATTCCACTTGAGGAGCTGGCCTCGTATCTTGGTTTCCACGAGGGAGGGAAACACAGTCAGTACCTAGACGTGCCAGCAGCAGATTTATCTGAACTTGAATAGTGTGGGATCTTTGCAGTTGTGCTCCCAGAAGGAAAAACACAACACGCTCCTGGTGGGCGTACAAGTCCTTGCGGGAAATGGTGGGGAGCGGGCCAGAACTAAGCCTTCCCACAGAAGTCGGGTGGACAAGGGTGTGAAGTGTTAGGGAGGCTGAAATGCAATTAAAAACCCGCCAGACCTGCATGGCCATAGTGTGCTTCTGAGCCCTCTTACGAGTGCGTTTAACACTGCGCATCAGCTATTTACAAGAAGAGGAGACTTTCAGAGGCCCGTGTCAGAAGACTGGCAAGCCCCATACCATGACCGGAAGTGGCCTCCTCCCGTTTTTCGGGAGCGGGTTTTCCCCTTCCAGGAGAATCCGCAAATGGGTCTTTTTTCTGCAAGCTCTATTGCTCTCTCATCCTAGCGATCAGCTGCCCCAAGCTGTCAGCTCCCGAGAACGGAGAACTGAACTGCCTTCATCCATACGGAGACTTTGCCTACAGCTCCCGCTGCAACTTCTCCTGCCACGCGGGGTTCCTGCGGGTTGGGACGGAGCAGCTCCAGTGCTTGGCCGAGGGAAGGTGGACGGAGAAACCGCCCTTTTGCAAAGGTCAGTGCTGAGGGGAGGACCAGGTGCCAGCGAGCAACGGGGATGGTCCTGGTGAAGAGCGGTAGGAGAGGCAACCTGAGTGAGCGCCTTGGCATTTGCGGAAACGTCTCCTGCATGGAGAAAGCACCTGTTTGAAAGGCCTCCCCTTTCCACCATCAGCAAAGCGGTGCCCCAGCCTGCAGAACCCCACAAACGGAAGAATGGCGTGCACCCACCCGCTGGGCGAGTTTGCCTATCAGTCCACCTGCGAGGCGGTGTGTGAGCCGGGCTTCATCTCTGCCGGAGCAGCAGTTGCCCGCTGCTTGGCGACGGGAGACTGGAGTACTCCATCCTCGGCATGCTCAGGTGAGGCCCTTTCCTTCTTCGGCTCTTCCGCAGCACCGGTCAAGGTCCAGAAAGGCTGTCTGCCTCCAGCCAGGCCACCGTTTGGGGTCCTGGAATAGCTGCTTCCATTTAATAGGCTTCCAGGCCCGGACCTTCCCATTCCAGAGGGTTGGAAAATCTGGGACAGGGCTTCAGGAGCACTCTGTGATTCTGATCTCTAATCATCCTGGAAGGATGGTCAAGTGACCCAAAACAGTCACTGCAGGTTTGCACCCAGAGCAGTCCCAATCCATAGCCTCGCGAAGGGACACGTGTGTTCAGAGAGCGACCCACCTGTGCCTTTTCCTAAACACGGCTCGGGGTATAAATGCATTCAGTGCACCTGAAAGTTTCATTGGCCAATGAAAACATTTCTACCTTAACCTCCAGGGGCGTCTTCCAGGCGAGCAGGACTAGAAACGGAGGCACATCTGGTTGCCCTGGTCTTACTTTTGAAGGCAAGGGCGCGGTATGGGGGGTGGGGGGGGGTGGGCTGGTGGCTCCAGGGCAGATCACATGCTCTGTGAGAGGAAGTCCCATTTTCTGCTGCCAAATGGATCTCAGGTAGCAGGCGCAGGGAACGGGAGTCTTCCTAAAATTCAGGAAATTTTAGGCTTTTCCATTTCAACTCTAATGTCGCCTCCTCACCACCGCTTTTCCTCTTCATGCAAGCAACCCATACAATGCATTTATGATATGAAGAAATCAGCCATCTCCAACCCAGCACCCTCCAGACATGCCAGACTACAAACCCCATCTTCCACAGTCAGCATGCTCGGTGGCCATTCTGCTTGGGAAGTATTTATTTATTTATTTAAAACTTTTTTAGACCGCCCCTTACCATGGTCTCAGGATGGTATAACAAAAAGACAAAACAGAATACAACTCAGCATCCTAGTCAAAATCTTAACCAATCAACCAATAAAACACATATTAAAACAGTCAAATCTTAAAACATTGGGAAAATAAAAAGGTTTTAGCCTGGCGCCGAAAAGAATAAAGGCTTGCGAACCTCTCTGGGGAGTGATTCTACAATCGGGGTGCCGCCACAGAGAAGGCCCTTCTCTGGGTAGCCACCCTCCTAATCTCCTTCAAGGAGGGCTCCCAGAGAAGGGCCTCTGCCCCAGATCTTAAGGGTCAGGCAGGCACATATGGAAGGAGACACTCCTTCAGGTAACCAGGCCCTAAGCCGTTAATTGCGGTATCACACATCTGGAGGATGCCAGGTTGGAGCAGACCGGAAGAAGTGCTTTCAATTCTATCTGTGCTTATGTGTGCGCTAATGCAGCATAAGCATTAATGTGCCCTGTTACAGCGGTCATATGCCCAGCTCTACACAAGCCAGACCACGGCCGCTTCAGCTGTCTTCACCCTCATGGAAACTTCGCGTACGGCTCCAGCTGCAACTTTTCCTGCAGTGGCGGCTTTCAGCTCGCCGGACCGGAGAGGCTTGAGTGCACGGCACGAGGCGACTGGACCAAAAAGCAGCCGCGTTGCGAAGGTCAGTGCCAAACACTTTTCCCAGATCCGGCGGGGATCCCACACCTGCACCCTGACCCAAAGGCCTGAAGTCACTGTTTGCATTGTTATGAAAGCCCACGGAAGGACTATGAGTGCAGAGGGAAATGCGGAGAGATGCCCTAAACCCTGAATTTAAGACGGCATATTGCTTGCTGTGACCTGAGGGAGTTCAAAGCAGTTTGTCCGATTAGGATCTCAGACTGAGGACCTGCTGCAGTCCAGGCCCCCTGGCCTTGCCCAGCCCAAGATGGCTCTCAAACGTGGAAATGTCTTAGTCACAAGCAGCTAATAATTTTGAATTTCCAGTACAAGAGGACTTTGGTTTTCTCCAACTCAGTTCTGACTATAATTACGCTGTCATACTATTTCCAGGTCCTTTACTTGGAACCAAATTCTACCAAGAATCTGACATTTAATGTAACTTTTAATAAATCATGTACTTGAGTTTCCAGATCCCAGGCTACGTAGGTTAAGCTCTGTATTTACTAACTTGCAGCCATGTTTCTTTTAGAACTGGAAATAGGATATTAAAGAAACCTCTATGACAAGTGAGAAGGTTATTTTATGTTAAGAGTTTTATATTACTGCTGTCAGGATCTGGGCTGTTCTGGTGGCCAGAACCAGAACCACCTTATTTGCAGGATCTGTCCCAGGGCCCGCTGGAGCCCTCTGTTTACTGATGAGTACCAGCTGGGAGTCCTGGGGAAGAGCAAGACAGAGCGAGCGCTTCCCTCCGGGATGGGCCTCAGCAGTGCAGGTTCCCCTGTAGCTGCTCTGCCTCGCCTGGCCCGACTGCCCTTGCCCTGCTTTGCTGCCTCAGCAGCCCAGGTTCTCCTGTGTGCTGCTGTGCCTGCACCTCGCCTGACCGCGCCTGCGCCCGGTTCCTGGCTTTCCGTGCTGCCTTGCTGTCGTGCCTACCTCCAGCCTCGCCCGTGTCTCCCGCCTCGCCGTGCTGCCTCAGCAACAGAGGGCTTCCTGCGAGCTGCGGTTCGGCTCCCGCACCTTGCCTCAGCCTTGCTGCACCTGGTTCCTGTAGCCCCCTGTATCTTGCCATGCTGTGCCTCTCGCCAAGCCGTGTCTCCTGCCTTGTTATCCTAAGGTCCCTGCTGCTCTGTTGGTCCCCCTGCTTCTCAGCCCTTGGCTTGTTCCTGGCTGTGTCCCTGTTCTGCCCTCATGCAGCCCTGTGGCTCCTGACCTCAGCCAGCGCCATGGCCACAACCCGGGCTCGCTTTTGGACGCCATCTCGCCTGGAGTTTGGTTGCCCAGGCCCTGGTCCCCTTGCTCTTGTCTGGTCTTGTCTCTGGCCGCCCGCCTCCCAGCCCCGAACCCTGGCCATTGCCACCTGCAGAGGCCTGCTTAATACCTGCCGCCTGAAGATGCCTGAGAGCAGGTGGCCCCTGCTGCTGGCACAGCATCACTCGTTTGCGGAGCAGCCGGAAAGAAGCTGCTTGGAGTTTGACGTAGCCAAAAAGGGGGCAGGCCGAGTCCTACAGCCGGGAGGGAAGCAGCAGCTTCAGGAGCCTTCAAGAACCGGATGTGGTTTGCTCTTTGGGGAATTGGCGCGTGCTTTAAGGATGAGCCAGTCTGTCTGGGCTTAGCCTGATCCGCTCTGATCAACACCTATGTAATGTAAACATAGAAATGCTGAAGTCTTCCATGCACTTTCATCAAGAGGAAACCGACCCGAGATGGGGTGTGAACAAGCACTGTGGCCTCTTGGAAGCTAGAAAATACGCAGTGCATTCGTTGGCCAAGCACATGTCCGGCTCGATCTGCGCACACCTCCTCTGCAGTTCGTTTCTTGCCCAAGATGAGTGTATATTGTGAGCGACAGTGTCTGTGCTTCCCCTTGCCAGCTGTCCGGTGCCCAGCCCTGGAAGACCCAGCCCACGGAAGGAGCGCCTGCAGTCATCCGTACGGACACTTTGCGTATCGCTCCAGCTGCGTCTTCTCCTGCCGCTCGGGGTTTGAGTTACTTGGCCCAGAGATGCTCAATTGCACGGACCAGGGAAACTGGACGGGGGCAGCGCCCACCTGCGAAGGTACGTGGGAGCTCTCCAGTTAAGCTTGGTTCTACAGAAGGTCTGGGGGGTGGGCTGGGGGCTGCTGATTGCTCGCCCCCACTGCAGGGGGTGCCTCCAGAGAGTCTGTGCCATCCCAGGAGAATCCGAGGCCCAGGTCTATACCTTGCTTGAGCCTGGAGAAGTGAAACAAAATACGGTTTAGGCAATCATCTACCAAAAGATCCAGTGCCAAGATTTTCCCTGATTGTTTTTAAAATCCCTCCGCGCCATCCTGGCATACATTATTTGAAGCAGAAGTGTGGTATTCCGGCCACTTGGATATCCAAAATGGATATTATTCTGCTAGTGCAGACGATTACCCCCAACGGAGGCTATTCCACTCCTACTGATCCGTACGAGGGGCGTCGGGGTGCAGATCCCTTCGAATGCCCAGCCTGGCGCTCATGCCCAGTCGGGTGTCGCTGCCCTGCAGTGCAGCCCCTGAAAGCACTCGCTGCAGCATCCATGGAAATTGGCGGGTAGAAAAGCAAAAAGCTCTGTGGGGAAAGGGGGGCAAGTTTTGCGCAGCCTTGGCCTTCGCTTTGGCCCGGCTTCTGGCATCCAGGCCCCATGGCTCCTCCTCAGTCCTGCTTTTTCTTCTCGGTACTCCGCAGCCTGCGGCATTACCTGCTCCTCCAGCGTTCGGGGTGGACCTCCATCCGCTCGTCTCCGTAACGCTCTGGCCTTTCCTCCACACGCTCTTTCTTCTCCTCCAGCCACCAGGTGCCCCGGGCTACTCGCTCCCCTGAATGGACACATGAACTGCACTCACCCTCATGGAGACTTCAGCTTTGACTCCGGCTGCAGCTTCTCCTGCGACGTGGGTTTCTCCAGGGTCGGACCGGAGATGCTTCAGTGCACGCCCCTGGGGGAGTGGACAAAGACTGTGCCCACCTGTGAAGGTCAGGGAAGGAGCGCTCTCGGGGGCCCAAACCCGGGCAGAGCTGCAACTGTCTGCTAAATAAGTCTGCTAAACAAACAAACAAACAAATGGCAGCTGGCTAAAGGAACGAGCCAACAGGAGCCAATGGTTCCAGCACGCTTTCCAGGCCCTTCTGTATGCTTCTGCTGGGCTGTGCCTGGCTGCACCCCAGGTGGATGCGGGGCACCTGTGCCGGAAGGAAAGTCCAGGCCAGGTGCCTTCAGGTCAGGCCTTCTCTGGGTGCCTCTCCCACCTGAAGTGACGTGGACACCTGTCCCGGAGAGGCCTTTTCCTCCAGCAGCATTCCGCCTGCGGGCAAAAGCATTTTAATTTAAACACGGTAACCTTGCTGTTTGCTCTGGGATTCTCTGAGCCCATCTCGGTGGGAAAGGGGCATCCAGCATGAAGGGACACCATCACCATCTCTTCGCGTGATGTCTTCTCATTGTTTTTGTCTGTTTTATCTGCTGGTTTTATTTATTCCTCTTTCTGCTGGTTTATTCTGGAGTGTACTGTTGCTTTGTTTTTGGAGACCCCACCACCGTATGGCTTTATTTAGATAACGTCATGGGACAAAGACGGCATACAAAAACCTTAAATAAAAATAGATGAAAGTCAGGCATTATTAATCCGTTTATCCCATTCCTGCAGTGCTGAGTTGAGAAACAGCATGCCGTGCTGAAGGCTTGTTGGGCGAAACCTCAGGCTAGTGTCTCCCCTTCCTCCCTTGTAGCCATGAAGTGTCTCCAGTTGAAGCAGGGCGAGAACATGAAGCTCCGCTGCTCCAGTCCCTGGGCGCCCTTCAGCTACGGCTCGGCGTGCGAGTTCTCTTGCCCCGAGGGCTACGTTCTCAATGGAACAAAGCAGATGCAGTGCCAGGCGGATGGATCCTGGTCTGCAGCGATGCCTCTTTGCCAAGGTACACCCGTTGGATTTCAGCGGAGAGGCTTGGAGGGATAAACAAACCCTGAATGAGGAGTTCCAGTGTGGTTTTGATGCATTGCTTTCCCACGAGCCTTGCAAATGGAACGAGGGACCTTTTCATTTAAATCAAGTGCTGCTTCTTTTCTCATAATTTAGATGACCTCCTAGTCTTAAAAGACCCCCACTCTTACATTTCTATAGCTGAAGTTCTTTGAGTGGACCACAACAATTTAAAAACACAAAATACACTGTTAAAATTGCAAGTTTAAAACTACAACATCAAACAGAAGCAAAAGCCAGAGTTAAACCTAGCAGCAAAACAAAGATTTAAAATGAAGTAAAAGAGTTAAAGCAACAGGGACTGAAAGATTAAAATTCCCGGGAAAACAAGGTCTTTGTCTGGCGCCAGATACCGAACATCTGTAGATGCAAGGCAGGCCTCTCTGGGGAGTTTGTTCCATGACTGCGGTGCCACAACAGAGAAGGTCCTCTTTTCATTAGCCACCCTCTCGACTTCCATTCTGCTGAAGGGCCTCTGGAGCTGGTCCTGGGTAGCCTGACCTGGACACATATGTGATTCACAGCATTTCCTGGCATGATCAGAGGCACATTCTTGCACAATCTGAGCTGTGTGCCAAATGAAAAGTGGGAATTTGAAGCCAAGGAATGAAGTTGGTGCCCAAGGCCAGGCAGTCAGAGGGAGAACCCACGAAGACAGCTAGATTGGTAATTTCACATAATGGACTGAAAAGGTTGGATAACCTAGAACCCAACCTGATGGACCTAGAACCCAACCTGATGGACTTTATATCCCACAGCTGGGAGTCAGAGTATGGTCTGGAGAGAACCAGAATGATCTAGAAAGACAACCTTTTAAAATTCCCTCTCAGTTTCCTTAGCAAGATTAGGTACATGATCACCTACCTCTGCCAAAGATCTCGGTGCCTGACAGGTTTTAGTACACAGGAAGATGAAGGATTTGCAATGTGAATGAGAACGCAAAGTTGCGTAGGCCTTAGGCCATGGGTCCTCAACTACGGCCTGCAGGACGGATCTGGCCCACCACGGCCATCCATCCGGCCCGCGCCGCCGCCGCTCGCTGCACACTTGCTGTGCGGGCGGGGAGGTGGTGGCTCGCTCGCTCACTCGGAGATGGTTTTGGACTCACTGGGAGATCTCCGAGCAAGCGAGCCACCTCCGCGTGTGCCCGACGGCACCTCACCAGCCCGTGCCCACAGGGACCCCCCACCTCACCGGTCACCGCAGCCTCTCAACTGGCCCCCTGTTCAAAAAGTTTGAGGACCCTGCCTTAGATCATCAGTCTGAACCTGCGCTGCTTGACCAGCCCTTTGAACCCCGTAAGAATGGCTGGCAAGCCCTGGAGCCCTGGATCGGGGGATTTAACCTATTGGCTTCCTACTAATTTCAGAAAACGTCGCCTCCTCTCTCACGCAAGTGCTGCGTTATACCGGCGGAGTGGCAGCCTCCGTTATCGGCCTGGTGGTCCTTGGGACTCTGATGGTGCTGGCCATCAAGCGACTCAGCAAAAGAGGTAAGGGGGTTCAAGCAGCTCACCTGGTCCCTTTCCCGTTTGCAAGTCTTGCACACCTGCCATTTAGGTTGTGTTCTCTTTGGATGTTTTGGACTTTGGGGTGAACTATCCTCCAGGAACTGATCTAGATTACATAGCCAGAGGGGGCTAAATTTTGGTGAGCATCACTTCAGGCCCCAGGGATGCGTGAATGTGTGTATCTCAACTTTGAAAGTTCTCGCATGTATTTTTTAAACCTGTCTGATGTAATGAGCTAGAATGTTGGAAGGTGAGGCTTCATGAAGGTTTCTTCCTGATGTGATTTTTCTCATTATTACTATTAATAATTAAATTATTTTTTATAGTTGGTTAGAGCTCTCTGGGCAATTTGCAATCCGTGATAAAATACAATAAATATTGTAAAAACTGAAAGAAAAGTTTTAAAGCAACATGTTTAAACTGCTAAAAATGAACAGCAACAAAACACCTTCACGAGCGATACTAATGGGTTTCTCTCCCCGCTTCCTTTCTGCATCGCCTGCTGCGGGCCGTGACTCCACTCAGAGCGGAAAAAGCAGCTCCTGAGCCAGACAAGGTACTAAGATTCAATATTGTGCACCCGAGGACACTGCCTACACAGACTGGGTTCGCACAACCCGGCAGCCCACGATGAGCTGGCCTGTCACCAGGGCGGCTTGTTCTGGAGCAAGCCTCCAGTGCCTTTAGGGGCTGTTCAACCCACGAGAGGTTGTTCTGTCATCAGAACCCAGAAGAGCAATTCCTTGGTGGGTTATACAAGATCTCCCAGCAAGCTACCCTGCAGGAGTGGCAAAAGCCACTTGGAAGTGACCACCCCTGTTTTGGCTCCTCTGAAAAAAAGGTCAGCCTGGGAAATGCTTCCAAATGGCTCTGTATTTTTTGTGGCTTTCCAACATATGCCATCTTGTCTAAATGCCCTGCTTGGTTTTAGCCGTCAAATGCCAAGAGGCCGACAGAGCAAGCCTGCATAGAGTCCAAACTGCAAACCGTTGGCAGCTGCCCGTTATGTAGCCGTGGGCAGGTGCACCAAATAGGGGCAGGATGAATTCTCCCCAAGCAACATAATCATCTCATTTTCTGGTTCCAGAGAACTGACACTATTTATTTATTTATTTATTTAAAACATTTCTATGCCGCCCCATTCGCCGAAGCCTCGGGACGGCTCACAACATAAATTAAAATATAATACATTAAAAATATAAAACAAATTAACAATATAAAATAAGTCGCCCTGGCCAGGTAAAATAAGCAAATAATATTAACAATTAAAATGACGTTTAAATAAAAAGGTCTTTGCCTGGCGCCGAAAAACAAATAACGACGGCGCCAGGCGGACCTCTCTGGGGAGCGCATTCCATAGATTGGGCGCCACCGCAGAGAAAGCCCTCCTCCGGGTACTCACCCTCCTAATATCTTTCACAGAGGGCTCCCGGAGAAGGCCTCTTCCGCAGATCTCAAGGGGCGGGCGGGTGTATATGGATGTAAGCGCTCCTTCAGGTAACCAGGACCCAAGCCATTTACCCAGGGTCATCCACCTTTCCGACAATTCCTCAAGTCACCAGTAGTCCAGGAAGGGGAGATCTTACACCAGGCCCTTCCAACGGCCTCTTCCTAGAATAGGGACTGCGGCTCAACTTGCATTCCTCCGTGGGTGCATTATACTGCCCTGCTTGGGGTGACTCATGTGGCTAAATAGGATTGAGGCTCAAGCAAACTGCGTTGAATCTGTCCACAAACTGGGGCCACAACCAGCCTGCCTTATTCACAGGAATGCAGGGGGGCTCCATGATGCCATCTCCAGCATGGAGCTTCCCACGTTTCTGCAGCACGTCTTCCATCTTTAAAGAATTCCTCGTTTTGGCCACCCTGAAGGCTTCTTTCACAGCAACCCTTTCCCATAGCTTGAGTCATTTTCAGCTTTCGCCCGCTCTTGTCTCTTCAAATAGCATTGACTGAAGTTCTGTCTCTGAAAATATAAACATTCTATTCCTGGAAAACCAAGCAAATTGCATGCAAATTTTTTTCTGCACACATTTTCAAACATATCTTAGTGATCACAAGGACTAGAAATATATTTTGAGGTCATCAAGATTTCAATGGAACAAACGCACCATGGGCTTGTGATGCGTTAGGCTCCCTAGGCAATACCAGCCTTAGACAACTGCTAATTATGTCTTTGCATTGCCTTCTAGTGATTTGGGGGCACCTGGAGTATTCACCAATGCAGCATATGACAGCTTTTCCTAAGGTGAGCCAGCAGGTATGCTGCTTTGCTTTGCCCATTTCAGAGAACGTGGCTCCTGTTCTCCTTTCTGCCAGACTGCAGTGCTTTCCTTGTGAAATACTTCAGGTATTACCCGATATTTTACTTAGAATCCCAGTGCCTTTATGCCCTCTTGTGGCAAGTTTGTGTGTTGTGACTATGCTCTCCCACTACAGTGCTTTAATGCTATCTTCATTAGCAATCCACAGGACTATCCCCAGACAACAGATGCAAATAATTTCTGGACTAGGATTGGAATGCAAGGTCCCTGGACGGGAGGTGTGTGGGAGAATAAGGTGCCAGAAGAGTTTTAGAAGATCTGTTGGGGCCTGCAGCAGGAGCAACCCACTTTTAGAAGAGGATGCAGAAAAGGAGTTGCAGCAACTGCCGTTTTTCCTAATGAGCCCCAAATATTTTTCTCTCTTTCCCCCAGAAGCGTGTGAAATAGCCTCCTGCTACTGCGGCATGCAAACAGGCCTAAAACATGGTTTGGGGCTGGAAGCGCAGGGACATTTTCAGCTTGCCCCCGATATTGCAGCAGAAAGATCCGCAAGCATAGCATTTCACTTCTTCACGTGCACATCCTAAGAAAGAGACTGAAACCCCGAAACTTTGGGTCCTACCCTAAGACTCGGCATTCCTAATAATGGAGAACAACTGTGATTTTTTTTTGCACTTTTACACTTGCAACTGATGCTTTTTTCACCCTTAAAAAGTGAGAAACGTGTCAGCTGTCCTGGGAACTGAGTAGGCGTTACTTAGGCACAGTGCAGCGATCTATTTGTTAGCAGAGGGTTTTTGGGGATCTACATTGTATCAGAGGGTTAACCTAACAGGATACTATTGGAAAGCATAATCGGAGCAAAACTCTCCCTCTATGAAAGGACAGTATGTTCTTTGGAAAGAAGATGCGTGCATATTTGTGATAATGTGCATTCTCAGCTTTCTTGACAACTTCCCTTCTTGATTGTAAAACAAATTTTGTCACTTTCCAAGTACAAAGGCAGAACAATGCAGGACTTGATTTTTCACAATGCACGGACTTTTTAGTCGTGGCCGTAGCTATGAAATCCAAACCACGCACGATCTCCTTCTGAATTATCATGCTTGATGCTTCTTTTCACAGGAAAGTTTTTCACGTTTTGCTTCTTTTAATGGGGATGTTTTATACACAGAATTCGCTTGGAACCTGGCCATGGGATAAAAGCGCCGGCACAGTGGGATTTCCTGCACTTCAGCTCAGTTCTGCCTCCCGCCAGCGAGCGTCTGTGCCTCATAGGTGGGGACGGAATAAATCCATGCTGCCATTCATGCCGTGTGCCCAGTGACCAGGACTCCCTGTGCTCTCAGCCTCCTACCAGATCACAGTGGGAAGAAACCTTAGGCCATTACCAAGAAACCTCATCTAAACCTGTCTTAAAAGATTGTGCATTTTGGGAAATGACGCCTTTGCTTCATCTAGACGCCACCAGTGTCTACTGGACTGGGACTCAGAAGATCCAGGCTCTGGTCCCTGCTCAGTCGCAAGGCCCCGGGGTGACATTGGGCCAGTCGCTCACTCTCAGCCTAACCCACCGCACAGGGTTGTTGTTGTGAGAATAAAATGAAGTACAGCAGGACTGTGACAGTTGGGCTCCTCACAAGATGAGAAAGGCAGGATACAAATGCAGTGTAATAATAATGATGACAATATCTGACATTGTAAGACTACTCTAAAAGCAAAATCCAAACCTACGGTTTTAAAAAGCAACCCTGGGCTTCGCTATTTCTATCTAAGCATACAAGGGTACTAAACTCTGTGGTAGCCATTCAGGTTAGAAAATGTTGATAGAAAGGCTCCAGAAAATGTGGGGCACAGGCGAAACCGGAAAGGATGCCAGCTATTGTAATCTATCCTAGCTTCACATACTTCACTGATGCCAAGAGGCTGCCCTGAGATCTGACCAGAAAAGATAAAACTGTCTAGCTGTCAGTATCACAACGGCAGGGCTTGGGTGTCGCGGGGGTGGGGGGCTGAACCCCAAAGCTGGGCTGCTTGCAAGGGTTTTGGCTGTAGGAAAAGAGGTCCCCAGAGGCCTGTAGCTGCAAGCTTCTAAGTCCTGAATGGCTGTCACCAAGCAGTTTTTGCAAACCAGAAAGCAAGTACTGTATTAGTAAGCCCTTAGGTAGAAAAGATCCCTTTGATGATTCCTGTATTGTTCAGTCCGCCTTTCAGTGCCATCCCATGCCTCTTGCAGCAGCTTCTTGCTTTTCAATTGTTCTACCAGACTTGGTGGCAGCAGGAAATGGTTGCCTTGTGGACCTCTGAGTCACGGTGGCTGAGAGCAGCTTGGTCCTGAGACTGATGCGCTTGCTGAAGTAAGAAATCCCACAGGGATACTGCCCAGGGAAGGGCCTCCCCACCCCCGCCCCCAGGGGGAGGCAGCCATGGGGAGAGGAAATCCCCCCCACAGCTGGGAATGAGCAGGAATGTACACTGCAAGTCTCCGTCCCCAGGTGCACCCTAAATACGCCAATGTGCCCGCCCTGAAAGGTCCCCCTTTGAAGGCACACCTTGAACAAGCTGCCTGGCGGTGCGTCTTTTGGCGTTGTGGCCGTCATGCATTTGGCCCTCCTGTTTTGCTCTCATGCGCCACCGGCAAACTGCCTCCATGATTCCCACCCACTCCTCCAAAAAGTGTATGAAACTGAGAGTGTATAAAAGGCTTGATCTGGGCAGTCCCTCTGGGGGCTGCCTACACACTGCATGTATTTCCTGTTACGTCTGAATAAATGGCTAATGTTCTTTTGATTGGACACCCCTAGTGGACTCTCTCTGGTTTTCCTTATCAGAAACATGGGAAAGAATTCTATATACCCCTTGGGAAAGGGATGAATTGAATAAAAGAATTCTTGACATATTTTTAAACTCGATGTAATGGTTTCACAGTATCAGATTTCTATGCTTTTTCTTGCAATTAGTGTAAGTATACAATTTGAGAAAGGTTAGCTGACTTGTTTTTACAGCTGAAATCTAAAAACCATTCTTATGCTGGCTGAAACCTCTTGGGAGAAACATACACTGTACTGTACAGGATTCGTCTGCACTTTGCTCTGCTGCTGGGATGGGTGTGATGCAGGATGAAAGCTGAAAATAACAAATGCTACACCCCTTGAAACATATATGGCCTTCCTTCTCCATGGGGCAAAGCAGGTTTCAGCCCTGTCCTGTGCATGTTGATCCTGAAGAAAGTATTTCAGCAACATATTTTTAAAAAGCACATTGAAAATGTTTTGGGGTATCTTAAACGTGGGTAGATGGGCTTTTCCCAATCAACAGGAAATGAAATACCAAGCATACCTTACCATGGCCAGTCCCAAACAACTTTTGGACGGTAACAGGAACCCTGGCTTTGGTAAGCTAATTCGTACACAAAGTATAAATGTCCTGCAGCCCGATCCAAACCAGAGAGGATGGATGGAGCCTCCTGATAAAGGGCAGCCCTACGGAGAGGGCAATCCCATGCATGTGCATAGGGTTCTAGGTCCTCCTCGACCTTGAGGCAAGCTGGTCTTTTGGGGCCAGTCGCTCACTGTCGACCTGGCCTCCTTCGCAGGGTTGTTGTCAGAACAGGTGCGGGGGCCAGAATGCTGGGCTGGGCCGCTGGGCGACCCAGGCTCGTCCTCCGCTCAGCTGTGAGGCTGCCTGGCCGCCCTTGGGCCAGCCAGGGGCCCTCGGCCTCGCCTCCCCCGGAGGGCTGTTGTTGGCGCTGGCGCGGCGCAACGGTAGAGCCCGGCCCGGGCCCGGGCCCGGGCCCGGGGAGCCGCGCTCCGGCCCCTCCGGCTTCGGGCCGGGCCTCCTCGCGGGACCGCGGCTACTGGGCAAAGCGCGGCTCCGGAGAAGCCCCCCGGGGCGCGCCAAACGCGGCCGGCGCGCCATGGCTCTTCGCGGCCCCCGTAGCGGCCCCGCGCGTTGCGTCATCGCTGGTGCACGTCGCGTGCGATCCCGGAAGCGGCGGCGAGGCGCGATGGCGGTGGTGGCTGGCTGGGCCCCGGGCGAGCCGGGCCTCGAGTGGGGTACGGCGGGCGCGGGACACGGCCCTGCGGGGCCCCCCGGGCTCCTGCTGGTGTGGTGTGGTGCGGTGCGGTGCGGTGCGGTGCCGGCGGGCGGGCGGGCGGGCGGGGGAGGCTCGTGAGCGGGCGGAATGGCGGCCTTTCCCGTGCGTGCCCGGCTGGTGGTGCGTCTCGCGGTCGCCTTACTGGGCCTCGTTGTCTTCTTCCCCGGTTTCTTCCAGCGCAGGGTGTTATTATCTCAGTCATGTTCCATTTCTGTGCCCCGGCTTTCCTCTCGTGTGGAGCCGAAGGCGGCTTATGTGCCCCCGCGCTCCATGGTATCCTCACAACAGCCCTGTGAGGTAGGTGCGGCGGAGAGGCCGTGACTGGCCCGGGGCTGTATGGGCGAGGGGAACGCGAGCCCAGATCTCCCGGGCTCCCTAGGCCAGGGCTGTCATCGCCCACCGCACGGGCTCCCTCAGATCAGGCTGGGGGAGAGCGCGAGTGGCCCAAGAGCGCTTCGACAGTGGGTGCGATTGCCATTCTGGGAAGACATTAAGGTCTCTATATGGTAGATGGGCGTGGATAAGGAGAGACGACGTGCTCTAGGCCCCCGTTCCCCAGGGAAGATTATGGGTGAGGCAGATTTTGAACCTAGAACGTCTTTTTGCAACTTGCCCTTTGAAGTGGTAGAGTATACTCGATTTTGGGAAAAGTTGAAATTGCAATGTTACATACTCTTAAATGTAAATATTGTCGAAATCAATGGGACTTATATCAAGTAAAGTTGTTACAAATGAATTGGCTTGTCAGATCAGGCCAGGGTCCAAAAGCAGAAGCACTTGAGGGGCTTTTTTATGTTCCTATGACTACAGAAATTGTGTTTATCTATCCCCACCCCCTGCAGATTGTGGCTTGGGGTAATTTAAGATGAGGAAATGGAATTAAGGGAAATGTTGACCCTCATCCCTAGTGCTGCAGCCCTGATCTGATTCATTCTTCCGCTCCACCCCCTGTCCCAATCAGTCACAGATCTCTTGCTGTCTCTGCTCAAGGCTTGGAAGCTAATCCTAGTGCATGATGCAATACTGCCACAAAACACTGCTGTGATCGAAGAGTGCCTAGTGAAAAAAGCCTAAAGAAGAAGAAGAAAAAATCAGGATCCTTGTCAGCAGAATAAATTATTTAGAATAAGCCAACAGAAGCACATTTGTCTCCTTTTTCTGGATTGCCACTTACAGAGCTTGTAGGATGGAGAATTAGAGGCTTATCCTGTCTGGATAAAGGGGATATGGGGAATATCAGCACTTCCTATAAATTGGCTTGTATGGCTAATGCCTTGTTTATGTTTGTTAAATCCCAGATTCTCTTCTCTTCAGTGAAATTGGTGATTTGATTGAACAAGATGACCTTCAGCTGGACGTGGAGAATGACACATATGTGAGTAGCAGCAGCAGCGATTTCAGAATAACAGGACACGCAAAATGGCCCTGCTTTGGTTTACTCTGTGTTGGGTGCTCATTTTGCTGATGGCCTGGTTCAGGATGACTTGCCCTGCGCTGCCAGAAACGTGGAGGCATTTGGCTTGTATTTTTTGTACTTAGCACATGTTTGGGACTGAGTTTATGAACCCGAAAATGCAGCTGGATTCTGGTTTGCACTTTGGCTGGTAGTTGTTTATTTCTAAACTGCATGAAAAGCAATTTCAGCTTTTGTGTTGTAACCTTCTTGATGAACACTTTTTGTACAGACTTGGAGTTCAGTGGAATGTTTGCTTATTTCTAGTTCAAGTCTTGACAATAGAAAGAGTTATGGATGAAGCTGACAGGAGACAGGTAGATCATGCAGAACTCTTTCCGCATAGTCTTTGGACAGTTGAATGCCTTTTAAGTTAATAACTATAACCTTAAGCTTGGCTTTGAAAGTTGGAGGTTGGAGTACTTTTGAAAACCCTAACAATTGGAATATGGAGAAAAGTAAAATATTAACTTGTAAAACATTGTTTTTGAGCTACTGTTAATGCTTGCTATGGCTCGTACTGTGCTCAGCTGATAAAGTCCTTAGAAGGACTTTTTCAGCGTATAAAAGAGAAGCTTTTTACAAAATATTATTAAAGTAACCAGGGTGGAAAACTTGTGACTTGCCAAACATTTTGGCCTACCACTCCCATCAGTCCTAGCAGCATAGTCAGTGGTGAGAGATATGCAGTGGAACTTGTTTGGATTCAAGTCATCTAGGATTGAGGGTAGTTAAAAAAAAGGGTGAGGCATATTAAAAATGGGTATCTTTTATCATTGCCTATGTCTTTTCAGTAAAAGCACCTCTTCTAACTTTAGTTATACATTGAGCCAAGGAAGCAAAGTAATGATTCAAAGTTTGTTTATTTAAAACATTTGTACCCAGTCTGTATTCACTGCAGGATGTCTTAGGTGGCTGTTTGTATGTTTTTATACGTTTGACTTCTGCTCTCTCAGTAACTCTGCTCACTGTAATTTGCAGGAAAACAACCTTTGTGACCTAGACTTCGATTTAGACCTGACGTCTTGGGATTCAGATCCATGGGATGTTTTAAAGCAGACCCCAGCAGGTAATTTCCGGTTTAGTCACTCATTGCAAAAAAAAAAAAAAAAGAGCTTTCCTTTTCCAATAGCGGCTTATATCAGGGTTGGAAAATGTTTAAACATTGCAGAAGGGTAGCTGCCTTAGCCTTTTGCAGCAAAAACGACGACGAGTCTTGTGTTAGTTAATTTAGGGCACAAGCCTATGCAAGATGAGACAAAAAAATTCCTGCAGCTCTCAGCATTCCAACTATGCTGGTGGTGGTTGCTGGGAGCTTAAGCTTTTTTGTCTAAGCAGGCATAGAATTGTACCTTTATTGTAGGATAAGCTTCTGAGCAGGACAGTCTAAGGTGCCACAAGATTCTTTGTTCCTTTTCTTTTTACATGGAGAACAGTTGACCAAGTGGAAGAGTTAGTTGGGGGCCAGAGCTGGAGTGGGTGAAGTCAGAGCCAGAAGTTTGTGCCAAAATTTCTTCTCCCACGCCCCCATAAAATGTATAAAATTATTCAGTCTTTTATCATGAAATAATGCCAAGAATGTCCCACGGTGGCAGAAGCTGGTGGAAAAACATTGAGCAGAGATGCTGCTGCTGCTCGGGTCCAGGTGCCACCTTGGGATGCACTTGAGGTGGGAGTTTCAGGCAACGCTTCAGTTGTTGGCACCGTAGTAATGGATTCTCCTTTGTATAAGCAGTCATGCTAGAAGACACATGGCCAGGATATGTTACAGTGGTGCCACCCTGATTGAAGAGAGACTGTTTGAGGATATAAAGTGGGGCTGGGGAATGGAGGGAATCAGTCCAGTTTAAGGGGAAATGACAAGTCAGGTTTAGAAACGTTTCTGATATGCTTTAACTTTATTTATTTAAGGGGTTTCTAACCCATTTGATTCGCCACATTGGCTCTCAGGACAGCTTACAAATCAGCAATCTAAAAACATAAAATATACAATATATTGTAAAATATCACAATCAATCACAGTGCATCAGAGCTACCCGCAATAACAATAAATAACAATAAGATATATGATAAGCCAAATCACACCATGCCAATGACTAATGAGACAACCTATATAAAATCCATGCATTTAACAATTAATTTGACAGTACCTTAACCATTCAGTCTCTTCCAAGAATGGGGAACACACATGCCTTTGCAAAATAGGCATTGCTTATGTTTTGTGTTGAAACTTCCAGTCCTGCTTTCTGTGTATCCATGTTGCAAAGGCCGCTGCAGTAAAATCTAGGGGAAAATACAATGTTTTGCCAGAGAAGCAAATGCTGCATCCACTGTGAAAGCAAGGCGGAGTGGGCTGTCTGTTTCTTACACCTGCGAGAGACCCTCCAAAAACAAGCCAGGCCAGGAAACTTTCGGTTGCCTAGGTGATAAAGAAGGTGTTTTACTTGGATGCAGAGGAGGGGTTTGGACAAGTCTTTCGTAGGAGGCTTTCTGAGTCTGATATTCTCCCTTGCTTCCTCATTTTGCAGGTGCTAACTGCAAAGCAGAGCCCCTCTCACCTGCCACGTCAACAGATTCGGTTCCTTCTCCCTTGTCTGTGGATTCCCCAGTACAGCATGTACCTGTAAGCACTTCACGCTTTGGACTAATCAGATAGATGGTAGCACGTAATCAAGTAGGGGCTCAAAGTAACCATCTGTTTATGCTTGGCCTGCAAGATGCAAAGAAGCGATTGCATTTTCTCCCTGCTTTGTAACTCCTACATTCTTCTAACAAGGTTGACCTCGGGAATATCTGGCTACTGCCCAGATTAAGTCTCTGCAGAAGCAGGAAGGCTGTAAGCAACACCTTTCTCTTCTAAAGGGAGAATAACTGATCTGTTGGAGCCCCCTGAGCTTCTTGGATGACCTGGTGTCTGATGGCTTGTACGCCAAGCTTACTGAAGGATGTCGTCCACCAGGTCCATCATTTTAACTGTGTTCCTGGGGCCTCAAACAGCACTTGAGACCTGTCGCTCTTCTCTCCCCTGCCACCATTTCCATCTGCTGTGGTAACTGCAGGATTTCCAGGGAGCTGGGCTGAAATCAGTTACACAGGGAAGGACTTCCTGAGCTGGATTGGAATATTGAAGATCTGCTTATATGGGAAAGTGTCATAGAATCTCAGCAGAATGTGGGCAGAGCTGTAGACCTGCGAACAGATGTCAGCGAATGGTTGTCTTCTGCTTGTTTCTTGTATCAGAAAGGGTCCCATGCTGTGCTTTTTTGATTTACTTTCTCAGGAAGACACAGAGTTGGGCTCCAGTTCCCAGCCATCTCCTGTTTCTTTGTATGGCAAGAGCTCTCCAACTCCCTCCCCGCTGGTAGAACAGAAGGAGAGGAAGCCCCCATGCAAAACTGTACAGCACTCTGGTATGATTGAGCTGGACTGTTTGGCCATCTCCGATTTGGCCCTTTTGCTGTTGTAAACATAGCTTTTTATTGTTGCTGTTGTTGTTAAAATGAACTACCCAGTGAATTTCATATTTTAATTATTCGGTTGATTAATTGGTTAGAGGTGCATGAATTTGTAGGTTGAAACAATAGTTCTTGTTTCAGTTTACCTTACCCAGCCACCTCGATGCAATCAGAGCTATAGACTGAGAGTCTTCAAGCTCACCTGTCATTTGGATGGGTAAGAACCCTCTCTTGGTGAAAACCCCTAGCTCTGTTAGAAGCAGCTACATGGGGCAAGGTACAGAGCTGCAGAATCACTGCCTATTACAGTTGCCATTTTCTCCACCCTCCTCCATGTTTAAACAATAATTCTGAGGAAGCATTTTTTTTTTGTTTTTCGGTGATGTGTACACGCTTCACGATCATGCCCTGCTTTCCACAGCTTTTGCAAATAACTGTATTGGAAATAGTTGGCTGTTTTTAAAACTTGCTGCCAGCTTAATCAGCACAGTTTACACCCTTTTAATTTAAAATCAGTGAATCAAGTCAAGTAAACATTGCAACCCTACTAAGAATGTGTTCTAAATACTTGAAATATAAGCTATAAATGGATGACTAAAGTTGCCTTGTTCTAATATTGCCCAGCTTCCTTTCTGTAACGACTCCTCAATCTGTATCTTAATTCTTTATGAGATACTTGTAGTGACCTTTTTGTCACTTCCAGGACAAAACATCAAGTGTACAATGTCAGAAGGGAGAGGTAATGGTATATTATTTGGTTTTAGAAACGAACAGAGCAATGTGGCTGTTATGTTTATAATGCTAACATATAATTTATTGATTTGTATACAAAGACAGATTTGCATGTCTCCCTCCCCTGCTCTTTCTTTCTTCCTCAGTCCTGCCATTGCCACATATAAACCAGAGACAGAGGTTTGAACCAAACAGGTTGATTAAACAACCGGAGGAACCCATGATTTGAAATTGCCTTTATTCCAAAAGCAGCCAAAGTTTGTTTTAAAGCACAATCTCTATGATGAATTACACAGGATTAGAGGGAAATCTGGAAGTACTTCTCACAGCTGTGCAGGAGGAGGAGAGGGGAGTGGAGACTGTGCAGGCGAACCCATGTCGAGAAGGGCACAGGATGTGACTCCAGTTTTCGATATTCTTTAAAGCACATCTGGTGTTCTGGTTACATACAGGGTCCCCTTCCTCCCCCCACTCCTTCCTGCCTACTCATACTCCGGGGGAAAATGCAGCCACTGGAAGTGTCGCTGCCCCTCAGTCTTGCTAGGAAGTGCCATGGCGTGGCTCCCCGCTTTGGAAGGGCCCTTCCGCCTGAGCTTCACCTTGTCTTCCTCCCAGCAAATGGTCCTTCCGCGGCCCTGAGCCGATGCAACACGCTGCCGCCCAAGCCGTCGATTCAGCCCAAGCCGCTGCTGCCTGCTTTCCGGGAGACCCCGCCGGGCCTCAGCGTGCAGGCCAAGGCCATTGTCTTTCCAGCTCTTCCCACTCTCCTGATGCTGCCCAAGCAGTCTCCAGTTGTGGCCATCCAGCCAGCGCCTCCTAAAGGTATGGCAACGCTTGGTGGGGAGGGAGCTAGCGAGCCAGCAGGGTTGTTCCAGAAGCAAATGCAAATGGGATCCTCCAACGACTTTTGCCCTCTGGCTCTTTCTGGGCGCTTGCCGCCACCATCTCGCAGTGAGCTCGTCCAGCACTGCCCTGTGGACTCCTGCTGGAACAGGGCCGCAAGCAGCTGCAGCTTCGGATTTGGGCTTCTGGGTCCTCACCTTAGATGACTTTAGCACGTGCGAGCCAGACTTGCGGAGGATATTGGTTCCATCCCTCTGTGTTGTTTGTTTGTTTATTTACTCCGTGTGTAACCCACCCTTTATCCTCCTGCAAGGAACTAAAGGTCACTTACCTGGTGGCCCTCCTCTCTTGTTCATCCTCACAGCATCCCTGTGAGGTAGGCTAGACCAAGCCAAAGCCACACCATTAACATAACGAACATGAGGCTGCTTCTGCTGCCTCTGGCAGAGTGGCTGGCGCTCGCCCTTTCCGGGACACCACACCTCTGGCTGCCTCTGGAGGAAGACCTGCGGCAGCCTGGCCAGGAGTGGCCTGTGTGTGCAGGGGGAGTGTGTCCCCGATTGCCAGCGGCTGGGCAGGAAGCAGCTGCTTGTTGCAGAAGTGGACATGTTCAGCTGTGGATGGGTGCCTTCGTTTGCAGGGCTGTCGAGGGACAAGGTGCCACGTGCTCGCATGCCAGCTCCCCTTTGTACATGCCTTTGTCTCTGATTTAGGTCAGCCAGTGATGCTTTCCCAGTCCGCTGTGGTGCATCTGCAAACACCTGGAATTCTTCCTGCCACCGCCCCGGCCATTGCCGTCACTGGGAGGGTCACACCCCTGCCAGGCCATACTGTTAGTGTCCTGCCCCAGACGGCAGGAAAGAGTTTGGCCACTGGAAACTTAGCCGAGCTGAAGCCTGTTCTTCAAGCTGCTTCCCCGGTTGGCAGCCTGGACGTAAGTTCTGTGTTGAAGTCTCTGGATGTATTTATTGGATTTATATCCCAGCCCTTCAGCCAGAAAGGGCGGCTTAGGGCTTGCACCTGCAGCTCTCTTGCGGGAGAGCAAAATGGAGCCAAAGCCCTGTGGACCAGCAGCCACAGTGATGCTGTGACTCAGGGCATGTGGTTTCTAGCCAGGTGTGGGATGTGGTTTCCTGGCAACTTCCTTTATTTTAAGTAAACCTCTGTAGTCCTTCGTGAGACGAAGGAAAACACTGAGGGGTGGCGGGCAGCCTCTCTTGAACCCTTGGCATCGGAAAGGCATCCTGTTTTGCATTTCCCCTGGAGACCTTTGAGTGCGGCCCTGCGGTTGCCTGGCTTCCAAACCCTTGTGTTACTGGTGGTGTGGGTGGTTCCAGTGAAATCCCAGGTGGGAGCACCTTGCCTCCTTCCAGCTTTTGCAGTTTCCCAGCGGGCGATTTTCTCGGCATCGGCATCTGGCCCCTTTCCTGCTCTCGCAAGGAGCCCAGGGCAGCTGACAAGGTTCTCCTCCATTTCATCCTCACAGCAGCAAACCGGAGAGGCAGCACAGCCTGCAAGGCATCCCGGGAGCTTCATGGCCAAGCAGGGCTAGAACCCAGATAGCCACGGGTCCCTCCCAGCATGCGCATGCACTGTGCCACGCGGCTCTCGTGGGAGCTGTCTAGGATACGGCGGTGGTGCTCTGGCACCGCTTTGGGCAGCCGTAAGCCGGGCTGATGCATGGTTAATCGAGTGGCCCGGCGGTGGTACTGGAAACCCACGTGACTCTGCTTGGGCCAGCCCCGAGCCTGGCTTATGCGCCTTAACCTTGTTCCGCAGGGGCACCAGTAGCATGGCCGGCCCCTCTGGTGAGCCTCGGCCAGTGAGGCCTACCGGGTCCTCTCAAGCCAGTAAGCTGTGGGAATTTGGCCGTCTTCCCTGCCCCAACAGGCTGCCTCTGCCCAAGCTGGATGGGACATAGCCATCAGCACTCCAGCAGTATAGAGGGATGAAGGGACTCGTTTTCCTTCGCCAGTCCATGCACGCAAGCCAGGAATATCCTGCAAATATGCAGTGCATTGTGCGGGGGTGGGGGTTGATGGGAGGAGCAGCAGCAGCATCATGGGCCCCTGAGTCCTGTTGCTGAGCTGTGTGAGGCCCAGAGGCATTGGCCTGGCCTGGCCTCACTGCCTGGCCTCGTTGCCATTTTCCAAAGGAATGGGGGGAGTCTTTCCTCCACCTGCCTTCTGCTGACAGGAGAACAATCTGTAATTGCCCCTGTGGTATGTGGTATGGTGGCCACTTCCCAGTGTTTGGTTTCCTCTCACGGTGCTTGCCCTGCACTGTGCAACAGAAATGGGAAGTGGCCCGTTCTGGGAACTGGTAGAAAACCGCAGTGCAGGGATTAATCACGACTGGAAGACGAGCCTTCAATGCCTTGTAACTAACAGGCAGCGACGGACAAATTAATAGGATTCTGCGCTTATGATGGTGTGAGAGGGGGATGGGAGCTGGGAGATCGGGGTTCTGATCCCTGCTTGGCCGTGCAGTTTCTCGGTGGCTTGGGGCCAGTCACTCACTCGAGCCTAACCTGCCTCATCCTGCTCCCTGAGCTGCCTGAGGTTCCCCACAAGAGGAGACCAAGTGGGATATCGGTGCAGTGTAACAATGAATAATGCGGCTGCCGCTGCCTGGAAGGGGCACGGGATGCTGCTTGCATGATTAATGCAACTATAAAATGTAGGGAAGATTGAACTAAGAACTCTGGATTAAAAGAAGGAATTTTGTGAATATCTCCTAGATTTGAAACTGTGTTTTGCTTTTGTGATACAGCACTATTGTTGGCTTTCCTTTGGTTAAAAGAAAGGGGGGAAGCCCACCAATTTCCTGGCTTTTACCAGTTTTCGTGTGTTCGCCTGCAGGTAAATGTTCTAAAGCGGCAGCAACGCATGATAAAAAACCGGGAGTCGGCCTGTCAGTCACGGAGGAAGAAGAAGGAGTACATGTTGAGCTTGGAGGCCAGGCTTCAGTCAGCCCTCTTGGAGAACGATCACCTCAAACGGGAGAATGGGTCCCTGAAGAGGCGGCTGGACGAGCTGGCAGAGGAGGTGGGGTTGTGGGAAGCGCGTGTCTTTCTGTTTGTCTCCTGGGGTGCTGCACACTGCAAGGACCCCTGGATTACTTGGTATCTCGAGGCTTCAGGCGCTGCCCTCGGCGACAGCCCCAGCTTTGTGAGGATTCAGATACAGCTGCCCACCCTGCATCCTCTTGTTCCCCATGGCTGGACAGTGTCTGGGAACTGGGGCTTTGAGAGCAGAGCGAAGAAGGCCTGGCCAGCCAGAGCACCACAGGCCACAGTTCTGCAGAGTGTGGCCCAGCCTCCTCCAGCTGGGAATCGGAGACAAGCGGGCGACTTTCAGCAGTCACAGATAGTTGTGCCCCACTCGGGCCCGGTGCTGGGCCTCCTTGCCGAGGATGTGCGACAGCCTGGGGAGTCCTGCGAGTGCTGATCAGGGCATGCGGCCCGGCTGTTGCCACCCCTCTCTGATGCCTTGGGATGTCTCCACGGGAGGCTGCTCCCCTCCTCCTAGGTTGGAAGCAGGGTTGCCGTTGGGCGCCCCCGTGGTCTGCACGTGAGGAACGTGAGCAGCTCCAAACGGCCTGCGCCTGAGAGCGGCTGTCATGTTGTGGCAGGAGGCACCTTTGCTGCAGAAAGCCGCGCAAGGGGGTTGTCCATGCCGCGGCCTGCTCCTCACTGTCTCTGTTTCCCCCCACCCAGAACCAGAACCTCAAAGGTTCCCCTCCGAAGCGGCGAGCTCTCTGCGTAATGGTGTTGCTGGCCTTTGTGATGCTGAACTACGACAGGCTCAGGTGAGATGACACTCAGACGCCTCGGGTCATCAGGGCCCTCTCACAGCACAGTTCGTGCTTTTGATTCCTGTTCTCATTCCTCGGTGGCAACTTACTGGGGTCCACAGGCAAAGCTCTGTTTTTGCCGTTTCTGGTTGCCACTCTTCCCCAGCACCGAGTGTGCAGAGGAGAGTGCTTGCCCTGGGGTGGGAACGGAGCCCGTTTCATGTGAGCAGCTCAACCTGGGACGGGTGCAGAAGCTTTTTGCAGCAGGATCCCACTGGGTTTCTGCTGGGGTGGTGGGGCTTGGTCCCAGGCCCATCAGCTTGTGAACAATAGATACATGCCCATCCCTTGCTCAGATCCAGCTCCTGCCTAGAGTGCCTCAGAGTTGCGCTGCCTGCTTTGATCAGTCAGGCCAGCACCCTTTCTGGAAACCTCAGTTCTCAGGAATCCTGGCGCTAGTCCTTCTCTCTCTTTCAGTCCACTCCCTTGCTGAAGGATGCTGACATTCCAAACTCTGTTACCTGGGGAAAGCGGGGGGATGCCGCTCTCGGAATAGCCTTTATGGTTCCTGCCACAGAAGTTTTATTCCCCAAGTGTCTTAGAGACACAATGTCTATCAATGGAAAAACAAGGTTGCTTAAATTGCATTGGTTAGTTATTAAAGGACTGGAGTCTTTAAACATGAAGGTGCGGAAGTCTTCCATTCACCCCATTCCAGCCTAGGGACTGTCTCCAGTTTTCCTCAAACAGTCATGTGGGAGAGCAGGGGTTGACCCCATGAGATAACACAACTAGAGGCTCTCTAGGCAACGGGCCTTCTTTTAATTTCCTGGGCCCTCCCTCTGATAAAGGGGAAAGGGCAACCCAGTCACTCTCCGAGTTGGGTCAGTTTGGGTTGGACCCAGCTGTGCCAGGTCAAGCATGTTAGCGGGCAGGTGGCATCGCTTGCATGACCTCCGGCTGCAAATCAAGGGAGGAATTGAGCAGGGAGCTCTTAAGAGCCGAGGAAAGAAGCTCTCGGCCAAGTAGCTTATCAGCCTGAAGTTGTTGGTTCAAGGGACTCTTCGCACACTAAGGCTGCACCTCCATGCATGCTTACCTGGGGTTAAGCCCCACTGAACGCAGCGAGGACTTGCATCCATGGACACATGCTCAGGATGGCTTTGCATGTAGGTTTGTGCCCAGTTCAGCAGAACTGCAGTTGCTCAGAAGCACACTAGGACAGAGAAGCAACGGCCTTTCATCATTTGGAAACTATGATCAGCAGCCATTGTGGCCCAGGGGATCCGGGATCCGGTCCCCGCTCTGCCCTGAAGCTCCCAGATGTCTTTGGGCCCATCACTCTGTCTCAGCCCAGCCTACATCAGGCTGGTTGTTGTGAAGATAAAATGGAGCCACATCAGCTGCCGCGGCTTCCTGGGAAAAAGGGCGTCCGACTGCACTGTCAGTGATCACAATCCTAGTGGGAGCGCGTGCTTGTAAAGCTGCTTATACCGCACCAAGCTGCTTTCTATTTCTTTGTATGAGCAAATCTGGAGATCGATTTTAGTTCATGCATTTGGTCTGGCGTGGGCTGCTGGCAAGCGGTGAGTGTCGTTAGCTAACGATTCTGCTGTGCAGCGGTGGGGCACTAGATGGGGCCTTCACCCAGACAATTAGCCGGGATGGACCAGCAGGAGCGAACTGCTGTGGGGGAAGTTCTCTGCTCCTGGCATTTGCCAGCCTCGTCAGCTTTTCGTTTGTGCTGCTGGAAAGTGCCCAGCTGTAACTCAAGGATTATTCTGTCCTCAGGAAACTTTTATAACCAGGCATGTATTTTGGATGATATCACTGTTGGCTGGAGCAGAGCAGTTACTGTACAACTTGGATTTCGTTTTGCTTTTTTTCCTCTTCTAACCCCCCCTCTGACATTTTAATTGCACAGGGTTTGCTTTTTAGCCAGGTTTACAAATTGGATCCAGTTAAACTTGCTGGCATAGCTTGTTTTCCAATTTATCCGTCTGAGACATGGCCCAGGCGAACGAGAGGACAGCCGAGTACTGGGTGTTGTTGAGCAAAGGCATGCGCCACTGAGGCAAGGGCAGACACACGCATGCGCTCCCCCCCCCCCCCGCACTCCGCCGCCTGGTGTCGTCCCCGGGTGGCTGTTCCTCCTCTCGGCGTGTTTTGAAAGGCAGCAGCTCTGGCAAAGTGGGCAGGGATGAGTTGCACTTTTGAAGCCCCGCCTGTCTTCCCATGAGCTCCAGGGGTGTATCTGGGCTCTTCTCCCTCTCAAAACCTGGAAGGTAGGCTCGCTCGAGATAGGTCAGGTAGCCCAGGTGCGCTCCAGGGCGTGTCCTGCCGAAGACGACAGGAGCGGCTGCTCCAGACCCGTATCCTCCATGAAGTTCTCGCAGGGCTGCGGCTGCGGCAGTGGCAGCTGCTCTGACCAGGCTGTGCGAGAAGAGGGAGGAGATGGGAAGAGCGTGGCTTTGCTGCATCCCACCTGCAGCTCCACCCCAGTGGCCTTCCTGTCAAACACCCGTCGTGTCTTCCCTTCCTACCACTAACCATGGTTTTGTATTTGTGTAGTAACACAAACCATGATGAATGCAGACCTGGATCCTTTGTGATCTCGGTTTGCAAATACATTTCAGACCTGGTTTCAGTTCCCGCCTTATGTGTGAGTCGTCCTTTGCCTTTCAGCTTCCAGTGAAAAGCTCTATTAATGTTGGGCAGGGTGGCATTTAACCAGACTGCTAACTTAATTTAAATTTGATTTAAATGTGCAATTAAAATGTCAGAGGGGGGTTTTAAAATGCCCGAGATGGGAGGGTGCCTTCATGAGGCTGGCTCCTGATGTGCAAAGAGTTTGAGAAGTCTGGATATATTTGCAGTGTGCCATCAGCACGGGAAGCTGTGTAGCTGCACACGCCTCGGTTTCTTGCAGTGTCTGGAAACCTCCTGCAACTTTTTCCTTGGAGTTCCTTCCATGTTCAGTTTAACTTATTGAAAAGGAATAGAGGGCATTTTGCTAACGAGAGAGACCACAAATTGTATCAGGAAATCTACATGTGATGCGTACACCCTGTGAAGAGCAGAAAACGTAAAACTGCACAGTGGCCTTCCTGAGGTGTTACGTCTTGTCCACAGTGATGGAGGGTGTTCAGCCTCAGGTGGGTAATACAAGTGCTTTTGGTGGTGGAGGCAGGCGGGCAGAACTAGCTCAGTGCGTGTGTTGCTTTTCTGAAATTGCTCAGCAAGGGATGGTTTTGAGCTTCCAGCTGTTTCACCGCGTTGTCTTTTCCTTTCAGTGGGTTTGAGTGGGGCTCCATTTCTGCAGAGCCGAATGGCAGCCCAGCTTACCAGAACAGACACCTCCTCGAGTTCTCTGCCAGGGCACCTCAAGGAACAGACGGCAGGAGTAGCGACAGGTAAGCCTGAAAGCCTCTGCTGCCTTGCTCCCAGCTTTTTAGCCACACACTTGCGGCAAATGGTTGCAGTGCGTTATAATCCCACTAGGAATGTGGGTTTGTAATGCGTGACCTACAGATGAACGTATCTTTTCATCTGGGAGGCATCTTCTCCTTTTGTGGTGCGTAAAGAAGGGTTGGGGGTCTCCCTGGGGTGCGGTCCCTTCTGGGAGATGCCTGGGAAGCAGCAGGGCCCCCAGCTCAACTTGGCAGTTCCCCTTCCCAGCTTGGGGCTTGGGAGGAATTCAGGTGGTTGTCCCCGCAGCCACGATGGGCCTCTGAGCCCATTCCAGCCAGGAACCTGCCTTCCACTGTCAGCGAAATGTGAAGTGGGCCAGACGAGATCAGGGAGCTGGACTGAACCTGAGCTAGAACCAGCTGGGGAAATGAACTTGCTGCTTCAGAATAAGGACTTTGCCAAACCTGATGTAGCACAATTGCCGCTCTTATCAGCATCAGAATGAGCACATAAAGTAATGCAACCCATTTGGGGAGGTTCATGTCTTTTGAGTTCCATGGCTGAGCCTGGGAAACGATGGACAGGGATCGGACGGGGGCCCTTCCCTTTGTGTGGCTGGGTTTGTTTCACATGCAAGTGGTGGAAGGGGCAAACGTAACAACGTGGGGTGATGCTCTGTCCCAGTAGGTGTGTGGGCATGGGAGGGGCAACACGTTGCTGTCTCTCAGGTGGGCGCCACACGCCGGATACAGCCGGTCCGATGTGTGCGCATAACATGGAGGAGGAATATATGTGGAACAGGGACTCGCGTGTGAGCGCAGAGTTCAGGGCAGGAGAACAAGTGCGGCCAAGAGTACGTAAAGACAGGAATGGTGGGAAGGAGGGCCAGGTGGGGCCTCTGCAGCGCAACAGCCATGCGTGCAAGTCGTAATGGAGGCGGCCTCGGCAGGCTTAACGGTTTGCAGCACGTGTGCTGGAGGAAGGGACGAGGGAAGGAAAAGACACCATTGCTGTGCAGTGATAATTCTAAAGAACGTGCCTTATATATTTTTCCCTCATGTGGACTGGAACTGAACTGCCTGGTTTTATATGCTGGAACAGTTGCTGAAGGCTTTTGGACTTGAACTGGAACCAAACTGAACCTTTTCAGTCAGAGCAGAACAGAACCAGGAGTGCCCTTGACTTGCTGACCCGCCTTGAGATAATGGGGGGCGAGGGGGCTGGAGACAGCCGTCCAGGCTGCCATCCTCGGCCGGCCGGTGCTTCTCCTGCTGAGCCAAAATGGCGATGCCAGGATGTTTACCTAGAAGTGGGACCATTGCAGTCGCCCTGCTCGATCCCTCGCTGTTGTCGGGGTGGCACACCAACGGTTTCGCAAGCCCAGTGTGTGGCTCCACCGGCTCAGCTTCCATCTGAAGAGTAACTGGCAGCCTGGAGGCCCCGAGTCAGCCTCCAGCCCGGCCGTTAAGTTTCCTTCCTGTGCCTCATGGAAACACTGATCTGTGCGTGGGCGCCTTCGTGTGAGGGGCACAGGGGTGTGGTGGTGGGATTGGCAGACCCACCCGGAGGGTGTTTTCGGGGCCAGGCAGCGGCGCACGGATGGAGCGCAGTGCTTCCCCCTTGGGGTCTTGCATTGGCCCAGCCAGCTTTCCTTGGTGCTCGCGCTCCCCAGAGTGAAGGGAGATGGTGGCCTGGCTTGTAGCGCCACCAGCCGCATTTGCTCCAGTTCTCCAGCATCAGAGGGGTGCGGTGCGCAGTGGCCACAAAGGGCGCCACTCAGCACTGTGCCTTCAGCTCCGGCAGAAGCGCTCTGTTCCTCAGCTGGGCTGGCAGACCCCGCAGAGGCCTCTCTCGCAGGTTCCTGGCTCACGTGTGCCCTGGGGAAGCCCTGGATCCTGGTTTCGGCCGCCTGCCTGTAGCCCTTCAGCACATGCATCCTTCTCGCTCGTTTTCGTTCAGTGGCGTTGTTTCCAGCGTGAGTCTCCCTGACCACCTGAGCCTGCAGGCCTCTGCGCTTCCAGGTCTCCTGTGGAGCTTTAGGTTACCATCTGCTTTTGCAAGAAAGCAGCTCCCCAGGAGCCTGATCTAAACCTCTCTCCTCAGCCATTCCCTGCACTGGAATCTCTGCCTGGAAAACAAATTTTGCCTGCTTCAAACATCCCGTCTACTGCTAGAAGAGAAGCTGGAAAGGCATTTGTGGTGTGTTGGGCTCAGTGAATCACTCCGGCCGGGATGCCTGAGCATGCAAACCCCCTGCCGGCCTCTGGGGCTGGTGTGTGTGAGAGGCTTTTCCCCCTGCCGTGCCTGAGGAGGGCGGTGGAGTCCGAGCGCGTGCTGTGAGGCCTTCTCAGCCTTGCGGCTCCTGGCCGAGTCCTGCTGGAGAGAGAGGGGGTTTGCTCGTGTGTGTCTTGGCCCCGCCTTTGCAGCTGAAATCCGACGCATGTACATCTGCGTGCACGTGTCCACCTTCCAGGACATGGGGGCTCTTCCGCTGCAGGATTGCGGTCTCTGGGTGCGTTGCACGTTGGGGTGGCCAATGGCGGCACCCATGCAAATGGGCAGCCCTGGGGCATAGCCGTGCGTTCGTTCTCCTTGGTGAAGTCCTGTGTGTGGTTGTGTGCGTTTTTCCTTCTCACCTTTTGGGATTAACATCTGGTTGGTAGGGCCTGCAGAGAGCTTTGAAGGAAAAGTTTGCCGTCAAAAAGGTTCGGCCGATATTTGTGTTGTGGTCCTAGTCGGGGTGTCCCTGTACAGGTGATGCGCCCTTGGCGGTGGTGTGGGGTGGTGGGCATTTCCTGCTTGGGCCTGAGGCTCCCGTGGGTTGTCTCTTCTCCGCCAGGGCTCCTGGCAGCCCAGCGCAGAGGGCGACCGGAGGCAGTGGCAGAGAGCATGCCGCCACCCCCGCACGGGGGCTTTGGCTTTTCCAGCGAATGGGCTGCGCTGTCCCATCAGGAGCTGACTCCCTTTGCCGCAGGCTGTTGGAAACGTTGGCACAGATGAGCTGCAAGCGGGAATGGTCAAGAGCATTTAGGAAGCAGGCAGCAGCCAGTGTGTCTAGGATCCTTCCAGCGAGCGTTCTGTGTCGTGCACTGGGCACAGCTGCGCGCATCAAAGGGCTCCGGGCGGCTTGCCTGCTTGAGCTCTGGGGAATCGCTGGGCCTGGGGAAAGGGGAGCGCTGCACAACTCCGAGCCCGGCTTTTTCTGCGGGGAACCTTGCCACCTCTTGGAGCAGGTTCTGTGGTGCCTTGCCTCAGCTGATCCGAGCGCATCTTGCATCTGCTGTGAAGATTCGCGATCCTGCAGCAGGGAGCACGGGACGGACGAGGCGCAGGTGTCCTGTTTGTGTTTCCGTGTCTCTGCGTTCCTCTCTTCCCCCCCTCCTGTAGTGGTCCCCTCATCGATCGTGCAGCCCTCTTTCCATCTGCGTGTTCTGAGCGTCTGTCACAGTTGCGTCTGTCTCATTTCAGGTAAACAAGCCTTCTCTTCCGGATCCCCCGCCACCCCCAGTCTGGCTCTTTCGCATGCATTCCACGGAGTCTGCTCTTCTCCAGGGTCCTGCACGGAGTCCTCACCCATCACGGCGTTGTGCCTCCCCCTCCGTGCTTCCGCCCCGCCATGGTCTCTTAGCTGTCGCTCCAGCTCGTGCCCCCTCCCTTTGGAAATGCCACAGGGCATTTCCTGCTCTTCTCCCTTTCTGTCACTCCCTAACTCTCGCCCCTTTTTTTCAGTTCCAGGATGCGGACTTATTTCTCCCCCTTCCCACCTCACAGTTGCATATGCTTAACTCTTAGTAGGAAAGGGCAGCCGCCGTGGCTGAGGGGATCGTCTGCTGCAGAAGGGCGTCAGTGGTCATTCCTTAAGACGTTTCCACTGGAATCGTGCGAGGGCAGTGTACGTGGTTTAGCAAGACTGTGCTGCCTCAAAGTAGGAAATTAATTTAAATGCAAGCTTCCAGTGAGGGGAAGGCATTGATGAGGAGGAGAGAGCTTGGGGTTTGGCCACTAAGCACCCACCGCACAGCTACAGCCCTGGGAGGAATGCAAACAAGCCGTAGCAGTCATTTATTTCTGTGTCGTTATCAAGGTTTATGGCACTTTAGAGGGGGGTGGGTGGGGAGATTCTTGCTTTATAGTCCTATTTTTTGCTGGTTGTGGGAGAGAAGAAGAAAGGGGGAGCCAAACATTGAGGGAAACAGTCTCAGACTATTTCTGGTTTGCGAGGCCTGGAAAAAACCCACAGCTCTCCTGGAGCGGAGCACTTCCTGGCTCATGCGCTGCAGCGAAGTCAGCGCAGTTCTGAGCACTAGCACAAGAAAAGCTTCCAGCTGGAAAGTCCCTCTTTCTCTTCCCAAGTCCTGGCTGCAGCAGCTTCTCACCTGCTCGTCTCCCAGCCTGGACCAAATGTTCCCATGTGACCGTTACTTTGAGTAGAGTACCGTAAGTGGTATGCCGAATTGGACGAGCTTCGCTAATACGCATTTTTAGTCACTCACACAGTTTGGGTTGTTTAGATAGGTGTGATCTGTTTTTGTTACAAAATGCACTCAACTTCCAACACACAGTGTTCCCAGTCTTTCCATTTGCTTGCTCGCTCCAATCCAGGCTACTGCAGTCATTTCCTTTCATGTGATGACAGCTTAGCTGCATGTATTTTATTTATTTATTATATTTATATCCCTTCTTTTTTCCTCTTGTAAGGAAGAACCTAAGCTAACTTACATAGTTCTCCTCCTTTCCGTTTTCTCCTCACAACAACGAGGTAGATTAGGCAGAGAGACTGTGACTGGCCCAAAGTCACCTGGTGAGTTGCATAGCTGAGCAGGGACTAGATTGTCTAGCTCTCACCACTACATCACACAGCCTTGTCTCCCAGTGCATATCTGTGCCAGAGTGGGCCTGTGAATCCCCCTGAACAGCCACTGTGTTCATGAACTCTTGCCTTCTGTGCGCTCCCGAGATCTCATTGCGTGCATGGAACTGCAAGCCGAGAGCATCTCTCCTTTCTGTCAGCCTGGCAGCAAGCTTGCAAGAGTAATATATGTCTTTCCCCTCACTTCTAGGGTCAAGCATGCAGTCTCGGATAACAAAGCACTGATGGTAGTTACTGAAGAGCCGATCATATACATCTCTCCCCCACCTTGCCAGCCTCTGATCAACCGGACAGAGTCACTCAGGTGAGCACTCTGCTTTGCGGGGAGAAGGGGCTCTGAGCACCTGGGAAGCCCAGGAGCTGGGAAGCCAGTCTTCTGCCGCACTTTCCCAAGTGCCTGGTTCCCAGCGCTTTCCACTCGGCCGTCGGTTCACTACTATTTAAGAAAAACCTTTCTAAGTTGGTTTTATATTACAGTATTTGAAGTGCCATGCAAAAGAATTTGAAAAACATCATCAGTCAGCTTTGCCAACATTTTTGGTAGAAAGGCAGAGTAAGTATTTAATAAAGAGCTAAAGATACCAGCAAAAAAGCAGCAGAATAAACGTTGCTAATTTCAGAAAGAAAAAATAATTAACTAGCATTCAGATAAAACAGTTGCAAGAAATCTATACCACCCCCCCCCCCAAGTGATGTGTGTCAGAGTTAGGCCCTGGGGGCCTCTCACTGGGCGAGGGGTTCCAACCTGTAGGTCCTGCACCAGTGGGGCTGTGTGCACGTTTGCACCTTGAACTGGATAATCCGGACGGGCTACTTTTGGAGCATCGCAAGCCAAAATTTTTCATTTCCAGAAGCATGAAGCACCTTTGTAAAAAGGGGCATGTAACCTTTTCCCTTTAATGAATTAGTCATAAAATAACTGTGCTCAGCCAAGCCTCTTATATTGGAGTCTTGCAGGTCGTTAATTATTCCCATCAGGGACTTGGAATACGCAGGGCTGAGTAGGAATGTGCTTGCTGTGTCCTTCACATTCTTTCTCAAGGTTATTTTAGGTACAAAAACACATTTTGGTGGGGAAATCCAAGAATTCCAGTGTCAGGTAGATGTAGCTGGAAATTCTTTAGATTCTGAATGTGAGTGTGACTGAGAAAGTGAAATGTCAAAGCCAACCTTTTTTAACTTTCCATACAACCTTTGTAGTTGTAGGGATGGTTTTATTTGAATGGGGTTTTTCCCCTCCCTCAAGCTTTTTTTGTTTTTCAAGAAAAAGGTAACTTTAACGTTGCACTGACAGGTTGAGTCATGAGCTTCGAGGCTGGGTCCATAGGCACGAAGCGGAAAGAACAAGATCAAGGAGGATGTCGCATCAGCAGCAGCCAAAAGCTCCGGTCATCCAGGTGGGCCTGGGCTGCTCTTTGCAGGCGCGTGCAAGACAGTGGCTGAGGCAGCTCAGGGGGTGGGTGCAGGCCGGGGGGAGAGGAAATGGGGTGCTTGGGCTATGGGCTCGGCTGGCGGCTGCCGCAGAAGGTCTTGGGGTGCCTCCAGTCGCCTCCGGTGGCATCGGGACGGGACTTGGGTCCCCCACGTGTGTGTGCACACCTGCCCTCTGTCAGATCATACGTTCAGCGATGAATGGTTTCCCTTTCCGATATCCAGCCCTTCTCTCTCTCTCTCTCTCTCTCTCTCTCTCTCTCTCTCCTAAGAACCCTTCAGGAGAAAAGGGAAATTCTGGCCTTATTCCCCTTCCCTACACAGACAACAGCGTTGGGTGAGTGAAGATGAGATTTCTCCCTTCAGCACAGCATTCTGGTGGGTTTGCCCTTCAAAGCGCTCCTGTTGGATGCCTGCCCAACAGCTTCCCTAGAGCAGTTGCCTTCCCCACCCTGGAGCCCTTCAGAAGTTTGGACTGTCGGCCCCAGCATTCCTGACCTTTGACCGTGTTGACCGGGAAAGAGTGAGCTGGAAATGCTTGCAGGCGCCAGCCTGGGCAAGACTGCCTGGGTTGCTTGGTCCCTCCCATCTCTCTTTAAGCAGGCTCTCCCAGGCCCGGAAGAGTCTTTTAGCCTGAGCTCGTGCTTGCATCCGGATGCACTTGCCGTTGAAGCAAGGGTGGCGACGGCCCTTGGGGGGCCCTCTCTGCTCAGACCACTGGCAAGAGCAGGCTGTCCTTCCCTGGCAGGGTGCTGCACGGGTGGGAGAGGGGGTGGGGAGGGGGTGATGGGCAAGAGCGGCAGGAGGAGGGAAGGGGCCGCCGACCTGCCCCCTTGGCAGAGCTCCACAGGCTGCCCAGAAGGGACTGCGGCCCTTAACAGGAGAAGGCGGCTGCCTGCTCCGGCAGCAGGGGCTGAGTTACCTGGAACCCGTCTTGATGTTAAGCGCCGGTCCTGGCTTGCTGCTCAGGGTGGAGCTTGTGGCTTGCACACCGGAATCCCAGGCACGTTCAGATCAGTGTCTGGACACTGATCTTGGGGGTGAGCTGTAGGAGGTCAGGTTCCTTCCCTTAAATCTGGTGCCTCAGGCCTGCTGGGCCATCCGTGTTCCAACGCAGTCTTCTCGTCAGCAGGAACTCGGGGAGCGAGCTGCAAGTTTATTATGCTTCACCACGGAATTACCAAGATTTCTTTGAAGCGATCCGCCGAAGAGGAGATACGTTTTATGTTGTATCGTTTCGTAGGGTAAGCGTGTGCGTTTATCATATATCCATGAGATTTCTGTTCTGATCACTAGTCAGTGCTCTCTGGATGGTAGTCGCAAAGTTGTGCCCGACCCATCGCGACCCCACGGACAACATTCCTCCAGGCTCTCCTGTCCCCCGCCTTCCCCCGGAGTCCGCCCACGCCCACTGCCCCAGCGACCCTGTCCAGCGGTTTAGTGTGTAGTCCACTGAAAAAAATGGGGTGCACTTTCATTTGCATAATGCCTCCCGAGAAATCTTGAACGCTTTCCTGAGGATGCTTCAACCATCGCTGCAGCTTCATAAAACCACTGTACCTGCTGCTCTTTGGGAAGGAAATGGTAGAGGAGGCATGATGGAATTACATTAGAGGGTTGTTCCGGCATCCGGGTGTCCTTTTATTTTTCCTCATGGACCAGGCCACAAGTAAGAGCTCCCCATAAGGGAAAAGAGAACCACTGTCTTGCATGGGGCCAAAGAGAGCATCAAACACCCCAGCCAGGTTCGTTCCCCTCAGAATGGAAATTTGGAATAAGTAGGAGGTCGTCTAGTTTTCATTGCGTGAGCTGCTCCCTGCTCTCCTGTCCATCAAGAAGTCTGTATAGCCCTTTATGGACCTCCTTTCTCCATCAGGGACTTCTAGTGAATAGCTGAGCCCTAGGATGGAAGGGCAGGGGGATAGGAAGCGCTGTTTCCGACCAACCCTGCTGATCCTCAGCGTGCAGCTACGATTCCTTCCGTGCTGATCATCCCGTGCGCTCCATGTCAACTCTCTGTCAGCAGTGCTGGCCCCGAGGTTGGAGGACCGGCCGGCGGGGCCTTGGGGAATCAAGCAGAGTCTGTCAGCAGCTCAGCTTGAAGCTCAGCAATGAGACTGAAGAATCAGGCTGGGGTCAGTGGCTTTATGGGCTCAGGGGACTCTGTTGACTGGCCTACGAAGCTGCAGCGTGATGTGCCAGCTCTGCAGCTGCGGATCTGCAGCACCCCAGAAACCAGGCCTTGTGCTTGCAAGCTTCCGTGGAGGGGTGGGAGTGGGCCGCATCCCCCGGGGCCCTGGCACTGTACCGCAACATTCTGCAGAGCAGAGCTTTTACACGGGGGAACAGCTGGCTTCATCGGATATCATCAGTTCCATCTTCAGCAATATTTTAGAGTGATTGAAGAGGAGGCGAAAACATGTTCACAGGTCTTTTAGGTTGCGTGCATAACGATCAGCTCGCATCACACTCACACCGTGTAGTTATCCCACTGCCTCTCAGCAGATGGAGCTGTTGTTTAACTTTGCTTTAGGGTATCCTCCTCCCCTGCACCCATCTTTGTTTTGGGACGTGGGAGAGGAGAAACCCTATCTTCATTTTTCAAATAAATAATGTGCTACTTTCCTGTAAGGCTTTGGGCATTAACCTAACCTGGTTGCTGATGGAAGGGAGTTACATACATGAATGGAATGGAAACATAGCTGACTTTTTGTAATGTAATCTAGTGTTTGAGAGCCGGTCTAAATGTCACTGCTCAATAAACTCCTAAATTATCCATCCGCCCTGCTAAGAAAGCTTCTTCACGCTTCCCCAGAACCCAGTTTGGAATCCTGGGTTCTGGGTTTTAAGGGGTGCTTTAATTAAAGGACCATCAGTCTTGCTTCCAGAGTGCCTTCCAGCAGAATGTCGAAATGTTCGTTGATGTGTGTTTTGATGAAGGGGGTATTAATCTGGGCCTGTCCTTCTCGAGCCCTGCTTGTGTCTGCCAACACGATTACATCAGCAACAAAATGTGTGGGTTAAACAAGAACATATAGTTGTGCTAAGATGAGTAATAGTCAGGGAATAGCATGGAGGGACCAGTGGAGCTGCATGAAGCTGAGGATGGGGGTTCTCTCATTCCTTCTGATTTGCTTCCTGGGACTTTTTCCCCCTCTGCAGTCTTTCCGATAACAGCAATCCAGGGAAAAATGGTAGTCCTTTGTCCGCATGGTGTATGGTTCAGTTAAAAAGGAAAGAATTTCGCTCAGGTTGTCTGAGTGACCTGCCTTTGTTTTGTAACCAGGAGACTGGGATGTTATTGATTAGGACCCATGTATGAGTGGGGCTTGTTTGGACCTGACAGCCGCTGAAGAAAAAGCTGACTCCCCATTGACAGCAGTGTGTCACAGCGGGGATTTTGAGTGAAGCGGTCTGGGGAGAGAATCCTTTGGGTTCCATGTGGCATTTATCGGGGTGACATAAGATCTGGGGCAATTCGGTTTGAATCTTTAGAAAGTAAACACATTGAAAACTGGGCCCGTATGAGCACGTGCTAAGCTTGAAAGGTTGATCACTGACTACTTTCAGTGGCCTGAAGGACTGATGAGCCGCCCAGATAAATCAGTTGCAGATTTCGACACTGTGGCTGATCGGTTGCTTCTCCAAATGGAACAACAGTTTGAGGAAGGTTATGCCAGAAATGTGGTCCAGCATTGCCAAGTGGAGCTTTGTGTGAATCTAAAGACTTGCATAGAATCCTTTGGAGGTGGTATCCCAGTGGGATGCGTCCAGGCATGGTTGATGGATGCCAGAGATGTGGCTTTAAGGGATCAGGCACTGGTCAAACGTTGGGGGTCTTGTCCCCAGAACGGGCAGTTTTGGAGATCAGGTATGGTGGAGATTAGGGAGATCATGCATGGCGCTTGAGCTCCTTCGGTATTGATTAACGGTTTTGTTTGGTTAACTGAAACTCCTCTGCTGATAAATAAAAAGTGGGAGAGCTCCGCCCCTCATCAGTGGAGGAGTGGTATTTGAAATGTTCGGGAATGGTAAGCTAATGTTTGCTTCCTTAGTGAGGGTTATTCAATTTCCTGAATGATGGAATGTGTGTATAATGCTAATGTTCAAGATGTACTTCATATACATCGCTAAGGCTGATATGATTGTTTTCCTCTTCTTCCTCCTTAGTAAGGTTTGTAAACGTAATTAAGTCTGAATGTTATGAAATATTCAAGTCTTATTTAGACATGCAAGACCCAAGTGGGTGAAGGAGATGAAGGGGTGCTCCAGGCCTGTCGCTTCTCATTCTGGATTGCATGTGCGTACAGTGGGTTGTGTATCTGGGTAGATGTAGGGTTGGACTGTAAGAAGAGTTGTTGACTTTTAGGTTCAAAAGAGAAGGTATGGGAGTTGTGAACTTTGGATCTGTAGGCAGAAAATGTTGAGAGCAGGCTGCCATCTTCTGCCATTTGGAATTGCTTGCAGAATATCTTGTATTCGGAATTGTTTCTTGAAGGCTTCTGAAACTTAGGAAGTGAAGTTTGGTTACTGTTTTTTAACTTTCCTGGAAATCCTGGCAAACGGTAGTGTTCTGGCACGGTGTATGGCATTTTCTTGTTGGCAGGTAATGCTGAATTATTATCTTGTCTGTTGTATTATCTCACATATTACAAAAACCAGTTGTCATTGAGTGGAGCCGAGCAAGTGAGTTTCTTCCTGTCCAGTTCATACTTTCTCTGTTGCTCACCACAATGCTGAATCTGCTATTTTTAATATTGTTTTGTAGATGAAGAACAAGCAACTCCCAGACTGGGTGTGGAGGAGCAGGGAGTTGCCATGATAAACCTTGCGCTTGCAGAAACAATTGCTTTCTTCAGACCATGTTCACATGACTTTCTTGGCCATCCTGTCCAAGTATCCGAGAAGCAGCATGGATAGGGCCATAGTTTCTGTGAGGTGGTGCCGTAGGTTCCTGGCCCTTACAAATATTTTATGCCATTTCACAAGCTCAGTGGCCTCTCAGTGGTTCCTAAAACAGCTGGCCTTTGTGTGGTATGGTGAGCCCCTTCAAACAGGGGGAGCTCTCCTGTAGTACTGAGGACTGTTCTAAGAAATAAAGGAACTTCTCATGGCTGCTCCTGAAGTAGCCCCTGTGATCCTGGCCTCAGCTACGGGTGCTATTTTGTGGCTGAAGTTTAAATGCGTGAGCATGGGAGGAGATGGTAGGGAGCACATCTGTTGGAGATTTTAATCTGGTTCAGAACAGCTTTGAAGTTGAGAGGTGACTAGCATTTGTGAATGAGCCGTCAACAAATTGTAGAAACCTAGAATAGGAGGGTTCGAAGGGGCCAGAGGGCCATCAGGTCCAACCCCCTGCTCATGAGGAACTCCAGTTAAAGCATCCCCGACAGGTGGCTGTTGAGCTGCATCTTGAATGCCCCGGTAGTGGGGAGAGCCCACCACCTTCCAGGGTAATTGGTCCCATTGTTGTGGTGCCCTAACGGTCAGGAATTTTTTTTCTGATCTTCAGCCAGAATCTGGCTTCCTGTAACGTGAGCCTGTCATTCCATGTCCTGTATTCTGCGATGATTGAAAAGAGGCTCTGTCAGTCCTCTCTGTGAACAACCTTCCAAGAATTGGAAGGAATCCTATCCTCTCTCTCCTCGGTCCTCTCTTCTGGAGGGCAAACATGCCCAGTTCTTTTCATCTCTCCTCACAGGGCTTTGTTTTCAGTCCCCAGACCATCCTTGTTGTCGTCCTCTGATCCTTTTCTAGTTTCTCAAACTGTGGTGCCAGGAACTGGACACAGCACTCCAGGTGAGGCCTAAGCAGTACCGAGTAGAGATGAACTAGTACTTGGTATGATTTGGAAGTGATGCTTCTCTTAAGGCAGCCCAAAATAGCACTTGCCCTTCTTGCAGCCGCATCACATTTCTGGCTTGTGTGATCCACAGCAGTTGTAGATCTGTAGACAGCACTCCCAGGATCCTTCTCACGTGCAGTATTGTTGAGCCAATGCATTCAGTTCCCTTTTCCTAGACGAGAACTTGGCATTTGTCCCTATCGAATCTCATTCTGTTGTTCTCAGCCAGTGCTCCAACTTATCAGGATACCTTGAATTTTGTTTCTGTCTTCCAGGTTACTAGCTATTCCACCCAGTTTTATGTCATCTGTAAATCTGATCGTGGTTCCTTGCGCTTCCTCACCCCAAAAAAATTAATAAAAGTGTTGAAGAGCACTGGGCCCAGGACTGAACCCTGCA